TCAACAAGTCAACTTTAAATACTATTTTATAATATTAACATTACATTAAAATATCATTTTAAAGACTTCTAACACAACACTAGTAGTGAGAGACAGGACTACAAGGCCAGTGCAAGTGGTTTGCCCTTCCACTGCTCTGATTCCACTTCAATTGCAGTGAAAGGGCTCCTAGCCCCCCAGCTGCTCCTGTTTTAGGGATGAGGAAACACAGCTCCCCTGCCTCACAGCAGAAAACACAGATTAGAGCATCAGACAGATTTAAGTCTTCCCTCCAGTTTTCTCCTTTCTTTAGACATAGCTAGAACATGAGCAAAAATCTGTGAGTGCTGTTAAGGGCTGGCTTAAAAATATCGTAAGCACAAAATATTCCTTACAAACAGCCAGCGCCAAGCCACTGGAATAAGCAGGATGGTTTGTTTCCTCCACTCCTGGGCAAATATACAAGCATGGACACAGACCTACAGGATTTAAACAGCCTGGACATAAACTGAAACCATATGCATTGCTGAACAGCATAGCAGAAATTCTGTCTTGGTGTATCAATCAATTAATTTCACTATGGCCACAATCTGGAGCAGAAAACAGCAAATAGCCCTGGGATCACCAAATGAAAGGAACTGTGTGAGTGGAAGGAATGTTCCCTTGCTGCCACAGAGAACAGTTGGCTTTGCCTTGATATGGAATATCCAGGAATTGAATCTTCAAGTCAGAAATACTGTCCTGTGGAACATAGTAAAGCCAAAGCAAATGCAGCATTCTCCAGGACAACTCTAACGGCAGGAGAAAAGAGTGCTGGTCCACCCTATAGGGAATATTCTCCCTCCTCCCCTCTGAAATTACAAATTGGGAAGAAGTAAAAAAGAGCTTTGTAAAATCCATCAGAAAGCATTCATGTATTCCAGTGACTGTAAAATAGCCTGCCCATTTCAAACAGGCTCATACAACACCCCTCAGTTTTCCCTTAAATCACATGTTCCAAGGAGGCAGTGACACTTGCCAGTATTAATACTCCCTTAACCAGCAGACAGCATCAGCTGAGGCACAAAGCAGCACAATTCCAGAAATAACAGATCCAATCTGGCCAATCCGACCTCTGTGTTTTGAGGCTGATCCTCATCATGACAAACCCCACCAAAGCTCTCTCCGTTCTGCACAGCTCAGCTTGACTCAACACTCGAAGTCCCAGTGGACAGTGTCTCTTCCCAGCTGCAAATCTGACCGCTAAACACTCTACACAGCACTGCTTTTCATGATAGCCTTCCTAAAATCCCTGGAACCTGTGAGTAGCCAAATATCTCAAGCCTGGGTGGGCAGAAAGAATCCAAATAAACTTCCCTTGGAGTTTTCCACTGATTGCATTTCCACAAAACACAAGCTGTCAACCTTTCACACCGAGCAGATCATTATGGGAGACCTTTACTACAAGGTCAACGCAGCATTCCTAGAAATCCAAGTGCATGACCACGGGGCAGGGATTGTGTTGTTGTTTTGATTGTTTAAAGCAAAGATAAAATAATTCTTACATGGAAGAAGTCAGTGACAAGCTCTACCACAAAAGCAGCTATTCTGGGTTTCAAGACTGCTCTGGACAGGATTGCACTGCGAGTTGGCTCCACCATTGTGGGTCAGGAGAATATTCAAACCTTTTAAAAAATGGATTAGTAGAACAAAGCAACACATGGAAAAGGAATGGGGATTAGCTTTAGAGGAACAGGATGGGCACAGACAACAGGAAAAGAAAGAGGATTATTTCAGTGTTTTCAACACTAAACTAGCTACCCACCCCTCTCCCTTCACTGGACAATGGAAACAGCATAAACACTATACATTTTTCATATAATTTCTTGGACCTGCTTTAGGGGATTCTGAAGAAGTGACTAAGAATGAGAAGTATAAAAGAATAATCAAGAGTATCCAGACTTTCACAAGTGATCATCCATCTGCTCAGGCAGCAAGCCACAATCAAACTGCAAATGAGACAAAGAGTTGGGCAAGCTGCAGCTGAATGAAACAACTGCAGCTCAGGATAAGTTTGAAGCAAGCCAAACCTTGAAACATTTAAGCTTCAAAGAATCCAACTGCAGAGCATCAACATCTCACACTGTAGGAGAAATAAAAGAGCTGGGAGCAATGGAATTTTCCCAGCACAAAAAGCAGGCAGGGAGCTACTGCCAGACCAGGGTTTTAACTTTCCAGTGCTTCAGTTTTGGTTCCTCATATATTTTTTAAATTCAGGTGATTACTTGAGATGCTTCAAGAAGACAGAGCATGGTTTGGGCTTTTTGGCACCTCTAGTCCCATGGTAGGAATCACTCCAAGAAAAAAGAAAACCCTCCTCCACCAAAAATAACTATTCCTCAATGAAACCATGAAAGAGAAGTTACAGAAACCTTGAACACTGACACTCCAGGCTGTGTCAGTGAATGACTGAGGAGGTGAAACTGTTGCTGTAAGAATGACCAAGGCCCAGAGAGTCACCTCCTCCGTGCGGGATGTTACACAGGCCTGAGCATGAAACACAGGATGAGTAAATAGCAAAGAGCAAACACCAACTGTGTTTACACAGCTCCCTTCTCCTCTGTGAATTTCAAATACCTATAACTAACCTATAACTAAGTTCCTTTGCAGAGAAAGAGTGCTTTCCTAATCAACTACTGCTGCATCCACTAGAACATGGTTCAGAAAGGCAGCACTGGCACTCAGACTATCGCTGCTGCTTTTGACTCTCCACACCAGCATGTCTCAAGAAGCAAGCAAGGGGAGGAGACTTCAAAATGCAACTGAGAAGACGAACAAAGATAGTTTACAGCTTTAAGAAAACTGCTAAGCCTTATTCCTGATTTTCAGACTTTACACAGCAAATGCAGCAGCCTTCCAGAAGAGCCCATCATTCTGTCTGCTTTTCCCACAGCCTTCTGTCTTTTCCTCCTCCTTCTGCTTACCCATACCTAGTATTAAGTCTTTTCATCCATCCATCCCTAACCTGTCCTTAAGAAGCATTTTCCCCTTTCCCCTGCATTCTCCCACTGTGCCAAGGTCTGACTCTCTAACAATGCTAACTGTTGCTCCCTGAAGTCAGGTCTGGAGGGTTTCACAGAATCCCATAAGGATTTAGGTTGGAAAGTACAGATGATCCTGCTCCACCCCTTGCTGTGGGCAGGCACACCTTCCACTAGACCAGGCAACTCCATCCAACCTGGTCTTGAACACATCCACAGATGGGGCAGCCACAGCTTCTCTGGGCCAACCTGTGCCAGAGTCTCCCCACCCTCACAGGGAAGATAGAGGCTGGACAACAAGTGAAACAATTCTAGGAGGTGAAATCACACAAAATAATCAGGTCCTCACAAAACACCAGTTTACACCTTCACATCTTGCCATTTATTATGCCTCCCTTACAGACTTTCACTAAGCACTGCAAGTAACCACATTTGTGCTTAATTATTACAATGTATACGATGCTCCATGTAAAATATATATAAAAAAATTTAAACTGCATTCACTGTCACAGTGAGCAGCTGCAGCTCCTGATTCTGTCTTGGGGAGAAAATTCCCCATTGCTCAAACTGAAGAGTCTTGGGGGGAAAATTCCCCATTGCTCAAACTGAAGAGATCATCAGGAAACTTGGCAAACTCCCAGCCAGCTGTGCTAATGCTAATTTTTATAATTATCGTTTTGATCAAACATAAGCCAAATCCACATTGAGGGAAAGGACAGCCCCTGGTGACTTTACAGCTGAACCCAAGTAAGATTCAAAGCCCACTGGCTCCTGAATTTGGGGCAGGATTTTCAATTAATGCATCGTTAAGGAGTAGATGATGACAGGAAGATTTGAGAGCAGCTGCAAGGCAAGTTGGGAGCTCAGCTCATGTACCACACTGCTGGCAGCAACATGCAGGTGACAGCCCACCATGGCCCCAAAGAGAGCAAGGAGGAGCACAGCGACCACGTCCACAGGACAAGCAGGCATGGACTTCAATCGCAGCGAGGGAGATTTAGGTTGGGCATTAGACAAAGCCTCCTTACAGGAAGGATAATTAAGGAGAGGGATAGATTGCCTGGGGAGGGACAGGAACTGCTGTTCCTGGAGGTTTTACAAGTGGAGGGAGACATCTGTCATGCTGACCCCACTGTGGCCAGGGGGTGGATTAGCAGCCATTCTAAGACCCAGCTCTGGTTTCTAACAACTTCCCAAATGCCTTGCTGGTCTCCAGCTTCAAACTGCTCTGATCCAGGAGCTGATAATGGCACAGAAATACATTTTGTTTACATCACAGCACTTGGCAAAGGCTGAGATTCAGCATTACCAACACACTGTCAATCGCAGGCGGGGCCTGGGCAAGGCTTCTCACCCCACTCTGCCAAGTGCTGGCACCTATTTCATAGAATCATGGAACAATTTTGATTGGAAGAGATGTTAAAGATCATCTAATTCTAACTCATGGGCAGGGACACCCTCTGCTAGACCAGGCAGCTCCAAGCCCCAACCAACCTGGCCTTGGACACTTCCAGGGATGGGGCAGCCACAGGTTCTCTAGGCAACCTGTGCCAGGGCCTCACCACCCTCGCAGGGAGCAATTTTCTTCTAATATCCAATCAAAATATATTCTCTCAATTTAAAGCCATTCCCCCTTGTCCTGTCTCTGCAGGCCCTCGTAAATAGTCTCACTTCGTCTTTCCTGAGCTTCCATCAGGCACTAGAAGATCACAATTAGGTCACCCCAAAGCCTTCTCTTCTCCTGGCATAACAATCCAAATTCTCTTAGTCTTTCCTCACAGGAGAGGTACTCAATCCCTCTAATCACCTTGGTGGCTTCTCTAGACACACTTCCCCGCAAAGTCAGGCTACTATTTGGGTGTGGGTTCCAGGTATGAGGAGGCAGATAGCCAAAAGGCAGGCTAATATCCGCAAGTCCACACCCCAGAGTTTGTCCAGTGCAAGGCAGCGCCCACCACCTCTTGCCCTGCAGAACTCAGACAAGACACACAAACATGTTACCTTTTTAACATTTTCCTCCTCCTCTTGGCGTTTCTCATAGTGTGAGAAGTCATCAAAGATGGAGGTGGTGTGCTTGTAGGTGGCAATAATTTTCAACACCTGCTTAGCCTTTTCCAGAGGCACCTCCTGAGTGTCCCTGGAGTTGGTCACTGGTTTATTCTCGTTGTTCTCTAGGCGGATGTGTCGCAGCTGGCTGTTGGGAACGTCCTTCACAAAAATCCACCTGACATCAAAACGTCCCTTCCATTTGTCCTGGGACCACACACCTGCACAGGTGTTATAGTCCACAGCAGATTTCATTTCTGCTACGCCGCAGAAGTGACCACTACCGTTGACACTGAACAGTAAGTATACAGGGCCCTTCCCATTCATGGAGCGATAGGCTGCATCCAGTCTCTTGTTGCCATGCTCCGTACTGCACCAGATATTGTATTTAATGGAACGGTGGATATCGTCCTCAGAGTAACTCTTAATGATGAAAACCCGCCCATGCTTTGGGTTCCAGTCAAAATCCTTGGGGTTATAGTTGTTAACAGATCTCAACTTCTCCAAGACTGGGTGTGGCTCAGAAGGAGAACCAGAACTGGCCTGAGCCTGTCCCACTCCGTTACCATCCACTCCATTCTGGCCGAAGCCGTTGCCACGATTCCGAGGGGCGACCCAGCGGGTAGGCTGTGCCGGTGGCACAGGCAGTGGGGCTGGCGGTGGCAGTGCCTGTGGCTGCTGCCCACCTGGAGTCTGGGTAACCGGTGGGCTACTACTGATCTGTTGGCCATGGGGCTGTGGAGACACCTGTGGTGGCTGCTGAGCAAGATTCTGGACCAAGGTCTGTGATGGGGCTTTTGCCACTGGCCCTTTGTTATCCCAAGTTCCGATATCCATGTTATGTTTTATGGGAGGTGGCGGAAGACTTGGCCCTGCAATGCCATTCTTGGCCTTCAGCTTGGGCTGCTGCTTGGCAGGTTTGCTGGCAATGTCAGCCCATGAGGTCGGCTTTGGTGGTGTAATCGTTGCGGGAGGCAAACTGTTGGACGTCACAATGTTACTGGTGATAGATCCGCTCCCCACGGCTGAGCCGATGACTTTCGGGACGCTGCTCGCCACATCCGTGCTGCCCAGCTTGAGGGCTGCCATGCCCTGGTCAATAGTGTTCATGCCAGGAGCCTTGTTGAGGGTCTCATTGGCAAAGGCTGACTGCCCATCGATCATGGCCCCTCCCAGTGAGCTGGGAGCATAGGCATAGTTGCTGCTATAGCCAGAGCTTTGAGTGGATTGTCCCTGAGAATTGTTATTCCCCCAAGCTGAAAAGTCAATCCCACTTGGAAAGAAGTTAAAGCCGTGCTGCCCAAGGAATGGAGTGCTGCCAAGGGCCCCTGGCTGCCCGAACATGGCATCGGGAAGGAAGTGAGGCTCCCCATTGCTTAGCTGTCCATATGAGGTCAGGTAGGGCATGGGGGGGTCTCCCCCTGTGGACCAGGCAGCTTCACCTAAGGAGTAGGAGAATCCAATGGAGGGACTGAAGTAGCTTGGTAAGTAGGAATCAGACATTGCAGTGTATGCATTATTCTGAAAGAAAACCACAAAAACATAAGCACTGAATTGTTAGAAGGAGTTGAACCAATTTTAAGGGACCAGGAGTAAAGGCGCCTTAGACTTACCCATGCCCTACTCCTTCCTACTTTAGGACTGGGCAGATAAATAGGCCCAGCCTTGAACACCTCCTTTGTTAGAAGGGCTCTAAAATCTGTTCCATTGCCAGAAAGGTTAAAGACAAAGGCTAAGAAAGGTTAAAGACAAAGCTTCTCATGCCAAGAGGGAAGTGTGTGGTGTTCCTGACATACACTGGACACTGGGAATCCCCGGAGCTCCTGCTCAGGCTATAAATCCAGTATCTTGCACCCAAATATCATCTTCTGCTAGTAGCTACCTCCAACAAGGATTTTTCCTGCTTGTGTAACATACTTAACCCATATTAGGGGGTTCCAGGGAGGATCTGGGGAAAGAATGCAGAGAGAAGGGGAATAAGAAAGAAAAGGATCCAGAAGAAACACATAGTGAAAATCACAAGTGTCCCTGATTGCTTTCCTTAAACTTACTAGCCATGAAAACAGATTTATTCCTACAATTTAAAGTTCCACACTTCACAATATTCCAAGCAATTGCAAACAAACGGGGATTTAAGGCCTATTCCTCAAAACACAAACTCCTCCAGTGCTGTGGGTACACACTGAAAATTACCTGAAAATGGGAAGTAATCAACAGAAGCCTTTTGCAGCACAGTGACAGCATCAGCACAAGCAGGTTTCAAATCCAGAGAAGAAAAAAAAAAACCACCGCCTCCATGACTTGATCTCCCTTTTAACATCCAAGTAGCCTTTAGGTTACAAAAAACAAATGCCTAATTTGACAATTAGGGAAGTCTCAGACATCCCCAAGATTTGCTTACATGAAAAACATCTGTCATTTCCCATTCAAACCCAGGTCCCCTCTGGGGAGTGGTTTCAGTCCTGCTAATGGGCATCATCCTGAGTAATTTGAACCTGTGAGCAGCAGCCTCGCCTGCCCAGCCCCTAAGACACCAGCCCAGTACAGACGAGATCAAAGGTGCATTCAGTTCCCAGCTAAAAGCTTGGCTTGCAGCAGGCTCTGCTCCATTTTTCGTTGAATCACGTACTCACGTGTGAAGCACAGCTCCCAGAGGATTTTATGTCACGCTGAAATCCAGGGAGTCTCTCAAGATGGCTGTGGCACTCTCCAGAAATAGCTGGTTTGCCACTACCTTCCACTTACAGGAGAGCAACAGGTTTGGGGCTAACAAACCCCCAACTTTACAGAAATTAATAGGAATTATTTAACACCATGTGTTCAGAGACAAGATTTCTGTGGTACTGCCTGAAAACTCAAAAGATGCTCTGTTCAACCTTTGATTTCACAAACGTCTCCCAAAAGCAAATTAGTAAAAAAACTCACTCTCATCCAGGGTTTTACTAACTGAGGAACTCAGTCCTGCTAAACCCAGGACTCAATATGTCCAAAAGCATCAACACTGACACTAACTTGTAAGACAAATGAAACTTAAACTTCCTATTACTATTTTGAGACACTAAAATCACTTCATAAGTTTATTGCCTCAATGATAAGAGTAATATTTTCTCTCCTGAACTCAGCTTTAAAGAAACAGGAACATGCCAGCCCATCCCTAATCCTGAGGCACAGCCTCTCTCCACAAGACGACTCAAAGCACATCACTGTCAGATTAAAAAAAAAAAAAAAAAAAAAAAATCTTTCTTCTTGCCAGCTCAAAATATTTTCCCACTGGTCAATTATGTCCAACTTTGACATATCTAACACAGGGCACATTAAGCTATGACCTGTAGAATACTAAGCACCTGCATACAGGTAGTAAGAGAGCAGAGTAGTTCAAGAGTTGAGCACAGGCAGCTCAGAGCAGATTTGGGACACAGTCACTGCTGTTGTCCACCTGAACGTCTTCAACACTGCTTTGTTATCAAACACAGCACCTCACTCTGCTCCCCTGCCCTCACACAACTGACACACTTGCTGATTACCATGCAAATAAAACAATACCAACTACTCATTCTCTCCATGACTAAGACTCTTCGCACAGTTATTTCCTCAAATTCACCGTTCCTCTTCACCTCAGACCAAGGCTCTTAGTGAGCCGTGCTGTTGAGCCTTTGGATTTTAAAGGGTTAAAAATCATTTACTGTGTATCTGAGCTTTAAAATACACAGTAACCTCCTGGGAACTGAAAAGTAACAGTCATACCTGAAAGAGCAGGTGGGGAAAATAAGGAGCAGTGAAACTTTACAACATGGTTCCCTCACGGGTGTGTGGAGAGCTCAGGAATCAACTCCAAAACTCATTTACTTCAATTATTCAGAGCAGTTTCTCTAACTCCCTTTCCCATCTCCACCAAAGAGGTTTACCCCTGGATACCTATGTATTTTTGCCTCCCTCCAGACCGAGCTCTGGAGGTTTTGGAATTCTACACAGCACAACAAGGAAAAGTCTTACTCAACTCAAAGGTTCTACTCCAAGTTAACTTGGTGGTTTCACCTTCTCTGGCTCAGTTTCTGCCTCCTGGGGCACATACAACCACTTCCTTATTTTTAAAATGAATTTTTAACAGCCTGAGACACACTGAAAGAAATTAAAGATCCAGAAATACTTCATCAAAACATGTAAAGGAGAATAAAATACGGTGTTGCTTCAAAATTACAGTAACCCTTTTTGTCTTTGGGAAATTAAATAAAACTGCAGTTTGTATGAAGAACATCCATATTCAGAAAGAAGCTGGGAATTAGGGATGTTGATAGCTGAGAAAGGAAAAAACCAGCATTAAACGACAGCTACTAGGAAAGCAACTGCTTTTATTCAAGACTTGAGAAAGCAATAACGTTCTCTCACCCTATGAAGGCTGAATTTAGGCTTGTAACTTTTCAGGGGGTTGAATGCAGTGAGTTGTCTTGATGGACAGGCTGAATTCTGAAGATTATGAACAGCTGACAGACAAAGAATACTTATCCTCAGATCTTTGGCACAAACTAGGAAAACACTTGCTGAAAATTTAACTGAGACAGTAACCTGTTCATGTGTTCCACAGTAACCTGTTCATGTGTTCCAATAAAACATGCATCACATTTACATGAGAAAAATAATGTACTGAAAAATAAAAATATGCAAAAATACAGCAAGGGGAAACCAGAACAGCTTATATTTACTGATCACAACTGGAAAGAGAAGGCAAGAGAACAACCTGTCTGCTCCAGTGCTATTACAGATGTTTATCTATGTACTCACTTGTACATCTAATCAGCTGAACTCCATCTGTTCTGTGTCACTCCCCTGCAGCTCACTACAGAAAACAAACACCAGTTAACAGTGGTGTTACTCGAAGAGAAAGTGAAGAGGAAAAGTAGCTGCAAGTTTGACTTCCAGGATCTAGTCACAAAGCTCCAAAACTGTCTGGCTCAACTTCTCAGAAAGTCTCAACATTTGTATCGCATGTGGGCTCTGGGTTTGGGGTTTTTTTGTGTAAAACAGAGAAATCCCCCTGATAGGCATCATCAGTTGACTTGGTGTTGAGGTAAGAAGGTTGATCTGATGCTCTGAAAGGTGCAGTAGCCTGCTGTGCAGCAACTTCACAACCCAACTCAGCACATTTCTCTGGTGTAAAGAACCAGAAACCAACACAGTCACAACACTAAAACTGAAAGAGCAGAAATTGTGACTTTGAGACAGTCACGTTGAAAAAAAAGAGCTGGACACCAACTCCAGGAAGTTCTCAAAAAGTTGCTAAAAACCTTCCTACCTCACCCACCACAATCTAAGGGCAGTCAATGTTTTCTACCATCAGAAATGCAGATATAGGATAGAATATTAGTTCAGGCAGCTGGCAAACATCGAAATGCAATCAGTGGAGATGGGGAACATAAAGGAGGCCAAACTTCCCTCCACTGGAGCAGCAGGAAACCTTGCTGCTCTTCGTCCTCCTGCCTGCAACAGGTACTCACCGGGCGAGCCTGGGGACTCAGGTAGGGCTCAAAGTCATCATCATTCAACCCATCTTTCTGGTGCACAGAGCCGTTTTGCACTGAGAAGAGATGTGTAAAGTTAGAAAGACCTAGGCAATAAGCTCCCATTATTATGGGCTTAAAGCATTTAAAGCCAAACCCTAGAATATAATAAACTTCTGCCAATTCTAACACACCACGCTCAGCCCACGGCACACAGACACTTTCCCACCGCACAGGCATCACCTGCAAACTATCCCCAGCCCAGCAGCCAGGCCTGGTCGCGGGGTTTATTTCCCTCCCGGCAGAGGGATCCTCCCTCTCCCAACTAGGCCCGCCCGGCCCCCCGGGATCTCACCTTTGTTGCCTTGGCCCTTGGGTCTCTGGCGCGCCAGCAGCGAAGTGGGGAAAGAAAAAGGGAAAGCGGTGAGTCAGAGGAACAGACCCGGCTCGGGTGAGGATACAGACCCGGCCCAGTGAGGGGAGAACAGAGCTGGGGAGGGCAAACAGACCCGGCCAAGAGAGGGGAGGACAGATCTGGGGTGGGTAAACAGACCCGTCAGAGCAGGGAAAGCCAAGGCCCGGCAGGGACAGACCCGGCCCGGGGAGGGGAGAGATCCGGCCCGGCAGGGTCGAGCCCTGCGGGGACAGGCCCGACCCGGCCGCATCACAATGGAGCCCGGCCATGCGACGGGAGAGGAGTGAGGCCGCAGCCGCCGCCCGGCCCGGGGCGCAACCCGTTAGGCCCAGAGCTGCGGCCTCGCCCAGCAGGGGCGTCCCGGTATCGGCGGGGGGACTCCTACCTGCTCCAGAAGGCTGCTAGCCGACATGGCTCCGCGGCGGGGCTGCAGGCGAGGCGGGGCGGGGCGGGGCGGGAGGCGGCGGCGCTTTGTCCGGGCCCGGCGGGCTCGGGGCGGCCCTGGCGGACTCGGGGCGGCCGCCGGCAGGGCGGGGGGACGCTCTATCCCACCATCTCCACCCCACCCCCTCGGCCGCGCGTCTCTATGGCCCGGGCCCGCCGCCTCGCGCTCCCCCCGCCCGGTCACGCGGCACCGCGCGTACCCAGGCACAATGGCGGGAAATAGGGGGGAAAGCGCGGGGGGGGGGGGGGGGGGGGGAGGGGGGGGGGGAGGGTTGGGGGCGCAGTGCATGCCGGGACGGCGGAGGACTGCGGTGGGGGGAGCAGCGCCCCCATTCGACTGGAAGTGGGAGACCTCTTAAAGGGCAAGGCGGCCTCGCTGAGGTTCTAAGGCAAAAAATGGCAAATTCGGGGCCCGGCTGCGGGCTCAGCCCAACCTCATCCTGTCGCGCGCGGCATTTTAGCTCCCCCCGTCCCCAGTCCAGCACTCCAGGGTGCACAGAACCCAGGGAACATCGCAGTCCCATGGGACCCCCACCCAGGTCAAGGGGGCTACCTGGGTGCTGGGTAGGTGTACAGCGATCAGGGAGTGCAGAGTCACTCCCACTTTCTGGCCAAAAGACACAAACAGCTCCAGCAGGGACCTGACAGGATCTGCTGTATGCCTGGATTGGGGAAGGGGGTCCCCAAAAGGTCCCCATTCCCCTTCAATCATGGGCCTGAGGAAGCCAGAGGAGAATGGAGGGAAGCTGGCTGGATGTGGAAGGAGGTGGATCCCTGATCCAAAACCACAGAATCCCAGACTGGTTTGAGCTGGAAGAGACCTGAAAGCTCATCTTGTCGTACTCCCTGCCGTGGGCAGAGACACCTTCCACTGTCCCAGGCTGCTCCAAGCCCCATCCAACCTGGCCCTGGACACTGCCAGGGACCCAGGGGCAGCTACAGCTTCTCTGGGCACCCTGTGCCAGAGCCTCCCCACCCTCACAGGGAAAAATTCTTTCCCATAACTCCGTCTAACCCTGCCCTCTGGCAGTGGGAAGCCATTACTCTTTGTTCTGTTCCTCCAGACCCTTTGTCAAAGTTCCCCTCCAGCTTTCTTGGAGCCCCTTTAGGCACTGGAAGGGGCTCTAAGAGTCTCCCCAGAACCTTCTCTTCTCCAGGCTGAGCATCAGATCTGGCTCCCACAACTGTTCCCACCTCCACTCCAAGCCAGGAAGCACTTCCCAGACGCCAATGTCAGAGCAGCAGCAACCACCCCTCAAAAACTGAGGTTCAGGAGTCCCTGCCCATCCCCTGCTCTCCCGAAGGCAGTGGAGGCACCGCCTTTCACCTCTCCAATGAAAAAATCTATTGGAGCTTAACTCCATTTTTCCTTTTAATGCAAAAAAATAGCCAGACACATCTTCCTGCCCTTCCCCCACCCTCCCCAGGTGTGTTTCCTTTGCTTCGTATTTCCAGCCAAGCAGCTCCCACCCTCCCAGCCTCCCAAATCTCCTCCAAATCTCCCACACCTCTGAAGCCACTCGTTGCTTTCCCCCTCCATTTTCCCAGTGTGGCAAAGCCCAAATGGATCTCCAGCCACCAGAAAAAAAGAGGGAAAGTGGGAAAACAGCGGGGTGCACCGTATTTCAGCAATGTGCCAGTTCTAACCCTGCCAAGAGATTACAGGAAGAAAGAAGAAAAAGTAATACAAAAATAAAACCACCAAACAAGAAGCGACAAGCACGGAGCAGCCTCAGCACACAGTGTAAACAGAAGCTGTCCTGATCCAAAATCCATCTCTCCCAGAAAGCAACAGCACAACATGCTTTGTACACCCTGAAAGGTCCCTGGGGTGCTGAGCAGCCAAGGGGGAGGACTGAGTTTGAGCTTGAGTTGATATTTTTTGCCTTATACAAAAGGCTGAAGTGATCTTGGAATATTCAAGTGGCATTTGCAGCACCGAGCCTTGCCAGGCAGGGAAAGGGATGGGGGAAAAGTGCCATGGGAAGAGGAGGGATTGGGATACAGGGACCCTGAGAGAAGGTCCCAGGGCTTTGCAGCTGGGAAATCTGGACAAGGGAAGGGAGAGAGCAAACAAATACAAAAAAATAGAGATTTAAAAACAATTTGTGTGGAGGAGGAGAACATGGACAGAAAATTCATTGTACTGTCGGCCTCCTCAAAGCAAGAAAAACAATAAAAAATCCCATTTAAGGTGACAGTGAAGGGTCTGACGGAATTCCCTTTTCCTGGGGAAAATAAAAATACAAATGAGGTACCTGTTCCACCCCAAATCCGTCACCCCTTCTCACAGCCACATCCATACTCAAGTGTTATTGTCTCTCAAATAAAGTCTCCAGGCCAGGGCAGCCCTGGAGCAGAAGCACTGAGGCATGGCTAGTTCCTCCTGGTTGGGTTGTCCAGCAGAGATCCAGTCTCTCCTTGACCCTGCCATGGGTGGTATTGTTCAGTGCTCCACAGAGACGGAGCCTTATCCATGTCTCATGTGTTTCTCCAGCTTTGTTCAAAACAAAAAAAACCCAAACTTTTTACATACATATACATATATATATATATATATATATATATATATATAGTACAATGAAAATATCCATGGTAACAACCGGGGTGGCTGGAAAAGATGCTTAAAAAAAAAGCCTGAAATAAAACTAATTCCCAACTCTTCCTCTAACTGATGCTTGCCTTCCCCACTAGTCTTCCAAGACCACAATCTCCACATTATGGACCTGGTGCTGATGGTCTTCCACATCTCCCACCACTTTCTCCTCAGTCCTCAGCTCTGTCTCCAGGATCACAGCTTTGCCCTCTGATTCGTCTGTGTCCGCCTCAGGATCCGGCGCCGGGTCGATCTCTATGATGGTCTGCCCATCGTCCGAGGTGCCTTCCACAGCTTGGATGGTGGAAGTGATGCCAGACTCCATGGCCACTAGTTCCACAGGGTTGACCATGGTCGCCACATTGGCCAGGGCCCCGGTGTCCTGCATGGCTGCTGAGCTCAGCAGTGCCAGGCTGGAGGACGGGTGCAGGGTGACGGTGTCCGAGGAGCTGGTCTTGGAGGATGAAACCACGGTGGCATATCGGAAGAGCTGGGAGCCAGACGGCAAGGTATGAACAGTCACTGGGCTGGAGCCTTGGCTGAGGGTTGCCACTGGGATGTTGCCCACAGAGAACTGTTGTCCAACGGGCGCGATGGCGATGGGGGAGATGACAGTGAACTGAGGCTGCTGGATGGGGGTGGAGGGGCTGAGGATGGTAGCGGAGGCTGGGCGCTGCAGACGGGGTCTCTTTGGAGGCTTGGGAGTGCTCATGGGCATCAGCACTACATTCTGGATGGTTTGAGACTTGGTCTTCTGGTCCCTGGCAAGTTTCTTCTGTTCTTCCAGCTGCCGCTCCAGGTCTGCATAGGGAATAGTTGAGCAACATGTCACGCCAGGGTAAGTAGGAGCTCCTGGGGCTCCAGAACCAACCATCATTCCCAGGTTTGTGACAGGAGGTCACCCAACCACCCAGTGAGCCTGATCTTGGCTTCTCCCTTGAGATCAAATGGCACTGAAGGAAAAGGCTAGGTTCTCCTGCCACCTACATAGACCTGGTCAACGTTCCAGCTGCCAGCGCCTGGGTAAGACACAGGTAACATTCCATACGTGTTGGCTACTCCTACTGACAAGGAGATGGACATTTCTCCTCCCCACAAGCTAAAACCCACCTGCAAGGGAGAGTGGATAAACCCCCCCAGGCAGCTGGAATTGCTTCCTGAGCTTGGCTGGGTCACCTCCCCAGGAGCCAAGCACCTGCACTGGGGACAGCCAGCAGGATGCCGGGTCAATGAAACATCCTCCTCAACACTTATTAGTGGGAACACTGGGAGCCAGAAGTAGCACAGTGACCTCATTTATCCAGGGCAGGGGACTAGGACATCTCAGATAACAACAGATCCTACAGTACATGGTGAGGAGGGAGACACATCCAATGAGCCGCTCTGGGGATCCCAGGTCAGTCAGTGGCTTCAGCTCAGAGAAAACTTAGCAGGATACCCAATAGCACTATAAGACAAGAAGATAGCCCTGATAGCTAAGACAAGCAGAAGCTCAGCACCACATACTCAGAGAGGCTTATTAGCTTGGGTACAGCACAGTACTGTCCACGGCTCAGGTGATCATGGCACAGCGCTGAGCAGGCAGGTCCTGTCCCTAATCCTGAGGGAATTGGACTGATGCCTGCAGCACCCCCACTGCAGCAAAGGGCACAGACTTTGAGTTGTCCGAAGTCCCAAGCAATTGCTCTCTGTGAGACAGGGGAGAGAGGAAATTTCATTCAAGCCCTAGGACAGAAAAGGACTGGGATGCACTTGTTTTGGGGCAGCCTGTTCTGAAGACTAACCCTAATTAATTGAGGAAAAGGAAAGTCATGTCCATTCCCAAGAGTAGCAGCAGGATGTGAACTCTTGTTAGGCCCCTTTACCTGCCAGTGTGTAAAGAAACTGTTCCTCTCCTTGCTCTGTCTGGTTTTTCCTGTTGTCCAGGACCTTCTTGACTGTGTCCATTAGGCCAAATGTATGGGCGACGTTGTTCAGGACTGCAGCATCTCCAAGGAAGGGGCACAGGGATGTTAAGATTTGGGCACTCAAAAGATGCTCCTGTTGCACCAAATATTTTCTACTACTTTTTAAAACTCTCTCTGTTCTTTCACAAAGGCTAGCTGAAAAAAAAGGAAACTCAACTCCCTCATCCTTCTGACATCCCAGGATTAAATCATCCCATTCACATGATAAAGCAAATTTGACAGAGCTGTGTCACTCAAGCAGCTCCTAATTGCTGCAAATGAAAGTGTAATTTGCAATCACAGGGATACAAACGAGCTCTCCACCTACAAACCATCACCCCCATGCTCCTGACAGTGTCATTAACATGCCAAGCTCCGCAGAAAGCTGTGCAAAATGTCTGTTATAATCCACTGACTTCAATTACTCATAGTTCCCGAAACCTGACACCTATCAGACACAAAGATGCACCAGCCCAAAGTTAAAATATATCCTGGGTAAAATGAAGTTTGTGGCTACATGTATGTTCTCCCAGGAAGAGCATCAACAAGAGGTGTTCACAGGGGCATGTGCCAAATCAGATTAGGGAGCCTGTTACAAGTTAAAAATAACCCTAAAAAGGGGAGGGGAATTTATTTTTAACCCAGATAATTTCCCTCATTTGGTTCAGCCCCCAAAACAGGTTTTCTGGCACCAGTAAAAGCAGAGAAGAAGTGAGGGGGCAGGACCTGTTTAGGCCTGCAGTGTCACAGAGAAGTGTTTCAGTAACTCCAGTCCAAGTGACTCTGGGAAAGCTTCCATCAGGGCTGGGAGCTGTGAACATAGTCATCTGATGGTCCGAGCAAGCTGCCAGGGTCACTTTGCTCAGGGAACAGGAGGGAATGGTGTATCCTTGTGCTTTGAAGCAAAGCCACTTCACAGCTGGGCAGACAGAGAACACAGACTATGCTCCCACAACTCAGCTAATGAGTGGGAACTCACTCTGCATCCTGACTCACCAGCTTCACATGGTGGAATGGACCCTTAGCACTGTTTTTTTTTTTTTTGCTTGCAACTGCCCTTTTGAGGCTTTTTCCTCACAACCTACCTGTCATCTGGAAGGGAGACTGACCCAACCGCTGCTGCACACCTCTTAGGACTTCTTCTATTTCCTTTTGGATGTTGCACACCACCTCTTCCATCAGCCCCACATCAGCTATTCCTTTCCAGAACATCAGTGTGTCCTCTGGCACAAAAGAGGAGGAAAAGTCAACATATACAAGCATTTGGCATTTTTCCCACAGGGTCACCTTAAACCTCTAAGGCAAATGTATCTTTTCAAGGTGACTACCTTTGCAAGGTAGCTTGGCTACTGGGGTGGACAGGACATGTGAAAAAAATAACCAACCCCAAACCAAGTAAAATAGACTCAGGCAGCAAATCAGGAATAGGTTTTTAAGCAAGTCCATGACTTCCAAGGCAACATTTCACATTTTTGCAAGATGCAAAGCTTAAAATCATCATATGAGGAAATTCTAGCTAAGCTTCCATACTGATACAAGAGGGTGGAAGGCCAGAGAGACACAGAACAGAGTTGACAGAGAACAAACATTACTCCACTCTTTGTTGGTTCCTGCCTGGCTCCAGGCTGGCAGATGTTTCACATCCTTTGAATAAAACAGAAAAGCCCCTCAATGCAACCAGTAACATCTGATCTGAGGGATTATCCATCAGCCATGAGGCCAGGGCCAAAGTCCTGCAGTGGTGAGGAGCTCCACTGGCAGAAAGCCTGAATGCCTGGGTAATCCTGAAGATCCAAGAGGCTGAGGGACAGCGTTGTCATTGCCCAAACTTTACTTATTTGCAAGATTTAGGTTTCCAAAAATGTAACAGGGGAGGAGAGGGGAAGAAAACACCGAACAAGCAGCCTAAGCTTACCTGAAATCTCATCCGTGTCCTTTTTCATGCCTTCCTCAGTGGCCATGGTGACGGCAGCTGTCAGAGCCGAGTTCCACTCTATCCCCTCCTCCATACTCTCCTCCGACAGCGCAATCTGGGTGATGCTCCCTGACAGAAAGCCCCCATCAACACCCTCTGACAGCCTGAATCCCTGCTTTGCTTCCCAACCCCCTCAGCCCTCCTCAGGCTCTCTTTCACTCTTTGGGTAAGGTTTGTGCTTGGCTTCTTTCAACCAAACCAGTCAAAAGTAAGTATTGCTGCTTCTCATTGGAACTGTGACTGTGAAAAGTTCTGGAGCTTCTGGAGGGAAAATCATGTGCCTTGCACAGTGGAGTCCTGGCTCAAGGGAGCAGAAAGAGATCAGAGTAAAGAAGGGAACAAATAAGGCTCAGCCCAGCCACCCTTCTCCCCTTGCATCATCCACAGGAAACTCTGCACCCCTAATCCCTCATGAAATGGAGCTGGCGTCGCAGCTGGTTTATTAAAGGGAAATGGATCTGACCCAATTCTAAATTTCTGGATCAAATTTGGGACTTACCAATGTGCAGCCACTGTAAATTGGCTATGGTGCTTTCCAAGAGATTCTCCTTAGCCTATGGACAACTCTGCCATGTCACCCACCCAAGGGCAGAGAAATGTAACCCACCCAGCTTAACAGTGGGGTACAGTTGGGAATAGTCTTCTCCCTTAACCACAGCAAAGAGATCAATATCTGATCTGGAGCACAGGATCACTCAGAACTTACAGCTGGAATGACACTCAAATCATGTCCAACCACCACATCCTGTTCATGGATGTTCTGTAGGAGGACAGCATTTCTAAATTCACTCCTGAGACCAATTCATGCCTTTATAACAGACTCACAAATGGGAAATATATCAGAAAATGCTGTGCAAGCTCTCACAAGTGTTTGCTCCCATGATGATCCCAGAACAAAGATCCCTGCAAGGCTCTCAATCCTTCTCCTGGCTCTGAAGGCTGCCTCTCTGGAAAGCAGCTTCTTGATGCCAGCTGTTTTCCAACCTTCCCTGTCCCGCAGAACAGAGTCCCCTGACAGATGCTGCCAAGACTTCTCCAAACAGACACAAGAAGCATTTTCCTTTCCAGAAACCAGAGCAATCTCCTGGTGGGACTGCCCTGATGTGCTCGGGAAGAAGGTGTAAAATGCATATAGGAGGGAGAGGAGCATCAGAGGAAAGTTCCCATGGCATTGGTAACTGGTTTCCTACCATCGGCTGAGGTTGGAGTCTGCACCACGCTCTGCTGCCCCGGTACTGGTGCTCTGGCACTGCTGATCAGGAGATCAAACTTGGTGCTTCGACAGGTGTTGGTGCAAACTTTGTCATGTTGGTAGAAGTCAATCTGCCCTGAATCCATCATCTTCCTGTGCAGGGAGTGGGGATAGAATCAGGCTCAGTTCAAATCTCAGCCTAGAGACAAAAGGGAGTATTCCACCTGGGAATGCTATGGTCATAGGAAGGAAAGAGAAAGGGAGATCCCCAGGCCACTCTGCACCCAGCAAATCTCCTGCAAGGCTTTCAAATGGCAAACACAAGAGACTCCCAGCTTCACACACACTGTTTCAGTCCTGTTCCACCCCAGGTTCCCCAGGCAACGCCACTTCTGTCCAGGGTGAGGGATCCTGACCCTCACATCATGGAGCCAGGATCTCTGCAAGCTGCAGGTACTGTGGGCCTCCAAGAGGCCTCCTGGGGACTGCAAGGCAGACAAAATGCCTGCTGGGGGTCCTGCAGCTGCAGGGGTGGAGCTCTGAAGCTGGACAGGGGTCAAATACCTTAGCATGATTCCTCCAAGGCGAATGGCTCGCTTCCAGTCCTTCAGGGTAGACTTCCCAGCCAGGTGAACAAAGTGCTTCGGGCTAATCAGTTGGTCATTGAACTGGCAACAAGACAAGCAAAGGCTCAGCAAACAGGGAGGATTGGGACATCCAATACAGCTCATCTGAGCCCCTACTTCCACCCAGAGAGAGGAGCTGCTTCTCAGATCCCTCCCAGCTTTGATCCCCTGGGCACAGCAATGCTCACAGCTCCAGGAAGCATGTCTGTAGGGATGACCTGCCAACCATAGGCATTCACAGCCCTAACCAAAAACAGCCCTGAAGGGGTTTATATGAACCAAATAATCTCCTATGAACATGTAGGGTCATTTTGGAGATCATTACAGGAGGTTTCTGTTACATCCAATGGCCCAGCAGCATCCAGCTGACACAGGTCTTCCCTTGAGCATCCGTTCTGCCCTGCTCCAGTGACTTGAGTAGCTCCTGCTGAGGGGCAGGAGCACAAGGGGCTTGGCTGTCAAACTGCCATGCTCTCAAGTGGGAAAAGGTAACATCAAGATTTCCCTTCTCAATGCAACCTGCTAGCCAAGGAAGTGACAGAGATGGAATACCAGGACACCAAGGAAAAGGAAGGAGGCAAAGCTCTGCCAGATCTCAACACATATCTCCTGCCTGCCTTCAATCCTTCCTCAAGGGCAAATACCACTGAAATATGAAGAGGGTGATATCCTTCCCTCTTTAATCCACTCTTTCCATGCTTCTCCCCATGAAAAAACAACTTTGGCACCAACAATCCAAGGACTCAGGATGAAACACAAAAACTAAGGAATTCCTGTGGAGGCCAACCAGCACACAGGAAGAGCAGAAAGGAATCCACTGTGAGTTTCTCCTTTACCTTCACACACTTGACATTGATTCCTGGGCAGACAAATTTCTTCCAAAGGAGGATGGCTTTGCTCTCCCCACAGGTGATGGGATAGGCAATCTCGATTTCCTCACTCGTTTCAAGGGTGCTGGGGTCTGAGGGAGGAATGGCTCAAAATGAAACTTTCCACCCAAGAGGCTCCAATCCCACAAGGCGGGAGCTGAAAGCTCAGAGGTTATGAGACCTGCACTTGGGAAACCAAAAAAAGGGGCAGATCCCAGTTCAGGATCAGTCCTCTCCATCTTCTCAGAGTTAGTTCAGATTAACTCTAACAGCAACTGGCATCTGCTTTTTGGTATAATATTTGGCCCCAAATGAAGCTCATCTATAAGGAAACATGAAATCAGAAATCCAACGCATCTGTAAGGGGGGAGGTGTCAATGAGAACAATCTTAGTAGCAACAAAATGGTTTAAAATTTGAAGCACAGATATCTCTCAGATTCTTGCAGCTCTGGTATCTCTTTAGCAACGATATCAGATATTTACTGATAATATATTCTCTTCATGTGCAGAGTTTCTGCTAATCCTGCCAAAAGACCCAAAATGACACAGAAAGCAGAACTCGAGTCAAGATCTACTGATAGCATCCGTTGACAGGAGCCTTTTTCCACACACTGCTCAGGATGGGAGAGAGCAGTTGGAGCCAACCTGCTCAGTTCTTATGAACATCCAATCCAAACCATTGGACGGCTGGTTCAGCAAAGACCCCACAACCAGAGCCTGATGCTTCAGTCACCACATCCTCATCACTATCATTCTTGCTGCCAGTGTCTGGACACTAGGACTAGGGTGACATCCCGGCTCCCCTGGACCCCATGGGAGCCCTTACCATTCATTGAAGGAGAGCCAGGATCTCACTACCAGGACTTTGAGACCAAGCAGTAACAGCAGACTCTTATTCCAGAGTAAGCCCAGCCCCTTTACCCACATCCATGCCTGGGAAGTAGCATCTGCAGGGGCAGAGCCATAAAGAAGCCCAGCGAAGTGGAGAAAACCAGCCCTGCACAGGAGGGGATTCATCCACACCAAGTGGGAACTCACCAATCCCTTCTTCCAGCTTGTGGATGGTGTGGGTTTCCACGGCCACCACAGCGGCACTGGCCTCGGAGCCCTCTTGGTAAATCCTGTGGTGAAAGCACCCATCCATAAACAAACTATATAAATCATGGGAAATTAGGATTCACATCACAGGGTTAAAAAAAAATCAGTAAATTTCTTTTTACCTGTCCTCAAGGGACATTAATTTTGTCTGATACAGTTGCAATCACCTGGAATTTTTTGGTGAACGCCAATACAACAAAACATTAATAATCCCAAGGGCTGATAGATGCAGAGGCATTCCCAGTACTGTCATCCCACCCTCCACTCTGCCAGCACCACTGAGGCAGCTCTTCAGGCTTCCCTGTGCCTTTTCCTCTGCCCTTGGTCACCCTCAACAACAGGAAGCAGAGCCCAGTGTCCTAGGATTTCTCTTCCAGCCCTATGTGACACTGCAACACAGATGACCACAAAGGGAAGCTACTGTCAGGCCCACAGCCATCCTGCCCCTGCAAATATTATCAAATTAGAGCCAGTTTTTTTTTCCATCCTGATTGATCCAGGGTGAAGATGAAGCCACTCTCTGCAGCAGCTGCCAGGGAGCTACAAAATTCCCTCCACATCCCAGTCCCACTTTATTTTAGAAGAGGATTATTTTAGGAGAGAGCTGGCACAGTGGCACATGAAGGTCTGAACACACAGACCACCACATCCAGCAGCTGCAGTGGGGCAAAAACCAACCCGGGGATTGGAGAAGGAAGAGAGAGACTGGGACAGCTCTGCTTCCACAATCTGGGAGCACTGCACCAACACAGCCTTGCAGGACAATTTCAGCCCTCAGAGGCCCCATGACAACCATACACACAAAAGATTTAATCTGTTGTATTTTCTCTCTCCCCTTCATGGCACAAAACTGACACACATCTGGAAAACACAGTCACACTCTGTACCCACACCATGAAAACACACAGGGCTCCCCCCCATCCCACCTTCCAGGTAGTACCATCCTACTCACCCTTGCTGCACTGGCTGGAGCTGCAAGATCACTTGGGTTTTGGTATCCTCCGGGCTCTCCCCTTCATTCCCGTCACTTGGTACAACCACCACATCACCCACAGGGACGCTCACCTCGGCATTCGCCATCTCTCACATGAACGTGGCAAGGTTTTCTCCTCCCTGTGGATCACAAGAGTTGGGAACAGATCCCAGAGGCAGATCCCCCCAGTGTCATCCCTCTCATAACTCCCAAGCCAGCAGCTCTCTCCAGCTCTGAACCCCCAACCTGGCACCAAGGAACCGACCCACATTGGTGGGTTTTGGCAAGAGTGTGTTTTCAACACAGAGCTTCTCCCACTGGCCCTGGACATCAGTGCCTCCAGCCACCCCTGGAATGCTCTGGTCCACCCTGGCATGCTCTGCTCCCTCACCAGGAACATGCCTGTGGATGATCCTTCCCAGGAGAAGCTGGTGTCAAGGTGTGGTGTTAACACAGGAGGACCTGACAGGGGGTCCCGGAGAAGCTGCACTCCCAGGGGATGTGCCTATGGTTGTGCACAAGGCACAGAGGTGGTTTGGTTACAGTGTGCGGCTGGACATCGTCCCTGCAAGCCTGAGGTCTACAAGCTGCTGGGAAAGCCAGTCTCAGAATCGTGGAATGTTTCAGGTAAGAAGGAACTTGAAAGCTCATCTCGTCCCACCTCTGGCCATGGACAGGGACACCTTTCACTCGACCAGGTTGGTCCAAGCCCCATCCAGCCTGGCCTTGGACACTTCCAGGGATCCAGAGGCAGCCAGCTTCTCTGGGCAACCTATGCCAGGGCCTCACCACTCTCACAGGGAACAATTTCTTCTCAATATCCCATGTAAATCTCAGAGATTTCAGGTCAGGATCTCCTGGCGAGTGACGGGGGTTTCAGTATCCCCTGGTTGGGATACACCAGGACAAACCTGGGGAGCCGCCGACACAGGGGCCACGCATCCACCCGGCTCCAGGCGTGGGACTCCCGCGGTTTCCCACACCTCATCCCGCTCCGGGGGACAGACAGAGCCACCCGGGACCCCTCGAGAGACGGCAGAGCTTCGCCAGGATATCTGGCGCGGGGGGGGGGTCAATAGGACACGGACAAATCGCGGCGGCGATCACGCCGAGGCCTTAAAGGAGAAGGGGGGAGCTACACAAGAGAACCCCCTGGCCCCCGCGGGGTCTCCGGGCTGCGGGTCGGAGGTCGCAGCCTCCCCCGCGCCGGGGGTCGAGAGGTCACGTGACACAGGACCCACGGGACCACCCCGCGGCGCGCACGGCGGCGAAGGGGCGTGGCCAGCCCGGGGGAGGGGGCGTGGCCTCGGCCCCCCTCCCCACGGCGCTGGCTAGCCCCCGCTGCCCTCCCCCCCCCCCACCCCCCCCACCCCGAGCGGCGCGCGCGCGACGCCCGCCCTCGCGGCAGCGGCGGCGGCACGTACGGCGGCGACCCCTCCCTCCCTTCTCGGCGGGGCCAGGCCCCCTCCCGCCCCGCCCCTTCGCGCCGCATGGCCCCTCCCGGCCCCCGTAGCGCGGCGCCAGCTGGGCCTTACCGTCGGCGAGCGGCCGAAACCGGGGGCTGTGGGACGGGGGAACGGGGGGATGGGGAGGGGGGAGGCGGGCCGGGCAGCAGCAACGCATGCGCAGTGCCCGCCGCGGCCTCGGCCGCCAGCACTTCCGGCCGCCGCCTGCCTTAAAGGGGCCGACCGGTGAAGCACGCGGCGTTTTGCTGCTCCCTGGTGGCCGCCGGCAGTATCGCCTTCGCGGCTTCACCCGCCAGCCCAAGCCAGGAGCTGCCGGTGGGGCTGTCACGGCGAAGTTCGCTCCCCCCTGGTCACAGCAACGAGTCGTGGAACGCACTACCGGGCATCTCCCGCCCCGCCCCAAGCCAGCCCCGGCGGGACCACCGGGACCTCCCACGGCCGGCCTGCCGAATCTCCCACTGCCCCTGCCGTGCGTGCCGGTCGACTGACAACGAGTCCGACCAATGGTGACGCGGGGTCGGGCGGCGACAGCCAATGGGCGTGGCAGGGCGGAGAAGGGCGTGGCCGGGGCGACGGCGCTGCGGAGCCCTGGCGGGGCCAGGGTGGCGGCGGACGGACGAGGATGCGGGCGGGCGGCGGGGCGGCCTCGGGGGCGCTGGTGCTGGTCCGCCACTGCCTCCTGCTCGGCTCTCTGGGGCTGCGCTCGGCCGGCGCACAGGACGGTGAGTGCTGATTGCGGAGCACCGGCAGCGGGACATCCCACACCGGGACGCGGCACCGGGAGCCCCACTCCCACCGGTACCGTCGGAGTTTCTGCTTCGCTCGCTGGGATGGGACCGGAACTTGGTGCGGTATGGGGACTGGGAAAGGGGACCGGACGGGCTCTTCGCTGTGTCTGGACCAGGATCGAATCAGGATGGGCTCACGGGAACAGTTCCCCGCTGTGACCAGAGCAGACCACACCGGCACAGGGTCGTCGTGGTGCGCCTGCCCCCGGTTCTTTTCCTGAACGGGATCTCTGCCATCCCTCTGTCCCGGTACCGACCCGGGGACAGGGTCCCTGCCGTCCCTTTGCTCCGGTACCGAACCCAAACGGGATCCTCGCCATCCCTCTGTCCCGGTACCGGACTGAACGGGGTCCCCGCCCTCCGTCTGTCCTGGTACTGGTCCGGGACGGGGTCCCCAGTATCCCTCTGCTCCGGTTCCGGAGGGGACGAGCTCTGTCCCTGCTCCCACCACCCCCGCATCACGCCGATCCTGCACCAGCCCATTTTCCCCGCAGCCCCCCCAGCTCTCTCTGTCCCTGTCCCCGGTGGCGACTACGCCGGGGGTCCCGAGAGTCCCGCGTTCGGCTCCATCCCGCCTGCAGGGCTTTCCCGAGGAACCCCTAATCCACGGGTTAAGAGGATCGCTGGGGTTTACGTGCAGAGCCGGGCAGTGGCCTCCATCCCGGGAATGCCGCTCCCGGGAGAATTTGTAGCCGCGGGGTCCAGGACGACCCCGAAGAAATGTTCACCCAAACGTGATCCCAAAGTTCATGTTTCCCGGTGTCACTCGTCCCCAGCTCATCCAAGAGCGAGGAAACAACAATGGGTCATCCAAAGCATTATCCTCGAGGGGAAACTGAGGCACGGGAACAGGCTGGGATCACTGGAGGCAGAATCCCAGTACGTTCCCACTCAGAAAGTGTGGTTTGGGGCACATCATGCAACGGGTTTCCACCGGATCCCCAACCCACTGGTGGACACGGGGGAGCTTTCCCGGGGCCAGCAGCATGACCTCAGAGGCAGGAATGTGCCGGGCTTTTGTCGGAGCATCGCCCTGTTGTGTCTTTCTTGCATCCTGTGAGAAAACAAACAAATCCCTGGCAGGAATGATCCCAGCGGGGCCCCGCTGAGTTCACCCTCGCCCACCGGAAATCCAGTTTTCACATTTTTTGGGAGGGGAGTAAAGTTTCTCTGGCTGGGGGCAAGTCCCCTGTGGCTCTGTCTTGGCTATTCCTGGCCCCTCGGTATCATCTTTGGAGCCAAATTCCCAGGAGTGCTGCATCTCTCAGTTTATCTCTGGCATTCCCTCTCGACACGCGCTGGTCACACTCAGGATGTTTTCAACAAAGATTTCCTTTCCTAGGATGGGTTTTTTTCCGGAATGGGTCCCCACAGCTCCTCTGCACTACCAGTATGGATATAGAGCTGGGGGGATCCATCCAAGACCCCCCAGTTGGGCTCACATGTGCAGCTGTCCTGGCCATAGAGGGTTTTCCATGCAGATCCCAGTGGCTTCAACTTTCTGTGCTAGAAACTCCCCCCAAATACCCCAAATTTGTCTCCCCCAGCAGAGCATCCCTTCTGGGAGCTATTGTACTGGCAGCCCTGGGGTCCCCGCTGTCCCCCCACCCCCCACTCTTGGAGGGCCTGATCCTTCCCAGCTCTGTTCTGTCAGTGGACAGTGCCCAGAAAGGCGAAAAATTGGTGATTTCTCCCAGTCCCACAGAATAAACCTCCCCCAGTTTAGATGCAAGCCCTTCCCACAGGCTGGGGAGGAGGGCACTCTGTGCTGGGGCTGGCATCTTTCACTGCCAGCCCCCTGGTTTTTATTCCTGTAGGATTTTCCCTTGCTGGCGCTTTGTGTTGTCTCCCAGCAACAGCAAGGGGAGCCGAGGCTGGGCAATTCTATGCCCACCATCCCTTTTCTTTCTGGCTGTGCCAGGATTATGCTTGGCAGGAGCAACAGCTTTTGGGGGATGTGAGGAGGAGGTGTTGAGCACTGGACCCCTACAAACGCCTGGCCCACACAGTGCGGCTAAGTGGTGCTTTCCCCCTTTCCCTGCACCCCAATTCTGCCCAGAAATTATGGCCAGGTCTCAATGCCTGATGCTTTCAGCTTATTTCAAGGATATTCCCTCATGCCCAGAGGCAGTGAGCCCAGAGAAAAGCCCCTTTCGTGGTGGGTCTGGCATCACCCTGAGAAGGATGCAATGGGGATGCAGCTGCCCAAGGTTATCCTCAAGGTCAAGGCTGCAGTCAGGGGTTCCTGGGGCTGCTCAGTGCTGTACAGCCCCATGAAGTGGGGATATTCTCTCCTTGAATCCTTTTATATCCCCCCAAATTGGGGTTGTCCTGGGCTGGAGGACGTAGAGGAGCTGGAGGTAGAGGGTCATGCTTGGTGGCTGTGGGGGAAGCTATGGCAGCTTCATCCCTGGATCCCCCTGTGGACAGTTCCCAGTGCCAAGAGCATCCAGAAAAGCCACCAGAAAATAATGCTTTGGATGAGGAAAACATCTGAAGAGGCTGCAGGTGCCCAGGGGTTGTTCTGGGGGCCTCACCAAGGGGGGAAACTGAGGCAGGGAACAGCCTGTCTGAGCACTATCCCTGGTGCGTCTGCAGGAAACGGCTGTGGCCACACGCTGCTGACACCCCACAGTGGCACCCTGAGCTCCAAGAACTACCCGGGCACGTATCCCAACCACACCATGTGTTGCTGGCGGCTCCAAGCCCCCCCGGGCTCCTCCCTACTCCTGGCATTTGGGGATGTGGATCTGGAGCCCTCAGAGCACTGTGCCCACAGCTCCTTGCTGCTCGCTGACCCCCAGACCGGCACTGCCTACGGTAAGGGGGTCCTGGGAGAATGGAGACAAGGGTGATACAATGTTGTGGATAGGGAGAATATCAGGAAAATCTGGGGTTTTAGCTGATTTCATCATGAGGAGGGAGAATATCTAAGGAGGGGGGTAAACAAATGGGGCAGTATCCAAGGAGGGGAATATCAGAGGACAAGGGGTATCTGGTATGTGACGAGTGGGTTATCCAAAGAAGAGAAATATCCAAGGAAGGGGATACCCAAATAGTGGGGGTGGGGATATCCAAAGATAAGGGTCAATATCCAAGGAGGAGGATACAGAAGGAGAGTAATATTTGCAAATGGGGATATCTGAGGAGGTGGGTACCCAAGGAGATGATTATTGCAAAGCTTGGGGGGAAACTGCCCAGCTGGGACCAGATGCAGCCACTGAATAATTAATTTGTCAGCCCAGCCACTGCCCAAACACTTCCAGGATTTTCCCAGACAGATTTAATGGTCTTGGAGGGATTTGGCAGCACTGGGAACATGACGAATGCTGAGGAAAACATCTTGGGGGTGGGGGAAGCATCGAGTAGTGGGGTGGGATAGAGAAGCAGCGCTGGTGAGGGGCAGGGGCTGGACAGGAGATGCAATGGGAAATACAGGATCAAAAGGAGCTGGCTTGGATCCATGGGATGGGGAGTTTTCCCTGTTCTTCAGGGCTTTCACTCTTTCTGGGCTGGTCCCCAAAGGGGTTACAGCACGCAAGGTCCCTGGTCCCCATCCCCTCTGCTGTGGCCTCAGGGAAATAATTGTTCCCAAAGCTAAGAGACATCCTGGCCCCATGCTGAGATACAGCAATGTGGGAAAGGGGGGGGGACTCCCAGATGATGTTCCTGGGGGGCTGGGGGAGGTGGCCGGGCACCCACAGACCCTTTGGGTGCCACCAGAGCCATACCAGCATGACACAGAGTTTGGGTTCCACTCCCTCTCCCGTGGCTGACACTGGTCCTTGAGAAGTTCCAGATGTTTTCTGGGAAGCGGCTGGAGCAGGCAGAGGCTGTGGGCTCCTTCCGTGACTCAGAGCTGGTGTCTGGCCCCTGGCCTGATTCTGCTGGGATGTGGCAGGGTCTCCATGGGGGTGGCAGCCTCTGGGGCTCAGCTGAGGGGTCCCCAGCTCCCAGGGTATCACCGAGATCCTTACAGAGGTGGCACCAGTGACCCAGGGCAGCGCCGCCATCTGGCAACCAGTGGAAGGGAAATCTGCATGGGGCTTATCTGCATCTCATCTGCATATTGTGCAGACCTCAGTTGTATCACATATGTGAGATCTCTGCGCGCACATGTGTCCCACGTCCCCTGGGATCGACCTCCTGGTTCAATATGACCCAGGCAGGATGAGGGTGTGGGTCAGGGTGGAGAAACTGAGGCACAGGAGGAGGTGTCACCAGCAGCCCCAGGGGAACACAGGCACACAGTTCCCTGTCCCCAGGACAACGATGGCATTTGCTCAAAACACCTCTGTGTGTCCAGAGGCCCAAGTGATAGGCATGATACAGAGCAGAGCGATGTGAGGGACAGGGGGTGGTGGCAGTCCAGGGATTGGGGCCACATTCTGTCCCCAGCTGGAACCAGAGATGTCCCTAAGGAATCCGCCTGCCTGCTAAGCCGAAGTTTTAGTCAGGGAGATAGAATTGCAAATTAATGTGGATTAAATGGGGGGAGGGGGCAATTTAGGAGGCAGCTTCAGCAGCACCTATGAAAGGGGGCATGTGGAGGAGACAAGGACACAGCTCCCATTTTGGGGTCCTGAGGGGTGATGCCATGTGTACCAGTCCCTGCAGTGAGGGATGTGGTGGCAGGTGCCCAATGAGGGCAATGGAGCCACCCTGGGGCTGGGACCAGCCTGGGCATGGGACCATCCTGTCATGATCTTGCCCTGGCCTGGGACCGCCCTGGGTGTGGGACTATCCCAAAACATGAAACCATCTTCAAGATGGGACCAGCCTGGCATGGGTCCATGTTTCATGGGACCACCCTTCAGCACTCTGGTGGGGATAGGCCACTCTGGACGTGGAACAACTCTGGGACCACCCTGAGCACAGCCCAAATGCCTGAGCCCCCCTGGCCCTGGCGAGGGCCAGGCCAGAGGAGATGAAGTCCTTGGGTCCAAGTGTTGAAGTGTGTCTCCAGGGACACCAAATCCTCTCCTTGGTGCCATCCCTGCTGGCAGGGCCCTACTGCAGGAACTCCGTCCCTTCTGCCCCACTCCTGGTGACAAACTCCAGCACTGTGACCGTCCTGTTCAACAGCACCAGCCACCGCTCGGGACGAGGCCTCCTTGTGTCCTATGCCACCTCACAGCACCCAGGTATGGGGGCAGCAACCCCTGGGATGCAGAGACACCCCTGGGATGTGTCCCGGCCCATGCAGGGACGTGAAGGATGCTCCTTGCTGACCCCAGGATGAGCTTCCGTTGCCCTGAGCTCCCGAACTTCCATGTTCTCCCTGGGTGGGGGCAAATGTGGGAGACCCGCAGGCCATATAGCCAGCTGGGACCCCTTTGAGAACCCTGAACCCCCAAGTCAGGTGGCACCCCAATGTCAGACAGAGCCACAGGCAGCATAGATTGTGCCATGGGGCCAATGGCTGCAGGGACCAAGGGGCCATCCCTCCCTGCCCCTCCAGACATGGGGGCATGAAGGGCAGAACCCAAATGAGGAGCAGGATTCAGTTGGGAAGGGGAATGGAGTGCCCTGAGGCAGATGTGGGTGTGTGCTGTGGGGCAGGTGGGGGTCCCTTACCCTGGGGTGTTCCTGCCTTGCAGACCTGATCTCCTGCCTAGTTCGAGGCACTCACTACACCCAGGAGTACATCAGGTGAGTGGTCAGGGTGGGGAATGGTCCCATTTTGGTGTCCCCTGCTGCAGGGCTCCCTATCAGTCCTGGTTTCATCCCCATCCCTCTCCTGATGTACAGCTCCGGTGGGATGGGGAGCAGAGTGGGTATGAAGAGGGGGTTTGGATGGGAGGGAGCCCTGACCCACTGCCTACCATGTGTTTCAGTGTGTACTGCCCTGCGGGCTGCAAGGACATCCATGGGGACATCTGGGGCAACCCGAGCCAGGGCTACCGGGACGTAAGTGTGGGCACCATAGTGCACCTGCTGGGGATGGTCCCCACAGCACGTGTGGCCACTGCTTGTCACCCTCAGGAACCCAGAGGTGATGAGTGTGGCCTTGGGGTGCCCCACGGGGTGCTCGGGCCTGCTCTGGGGGGCTGCCCTTACTCCCCACTCCTTGCAGACATCGGTGCTGTGCAAGGCAGCTGTGCATGCTGGGGTGATTGCGGATGAGCTGGGAGGGCAGGTCACCCTGTCCCGAGAGAAGGGGATCACTCTCTATGAGTCGGCCTTTGCCAATGGGCTCCGCTCCAAAAGGTGGGTGAGGAGTGGCTGGGGCTGCACCCCCCGTGGAGATGCAGGACCCACCCACATTGACACTGGGAAATTGCCACGCCTCAGAGACCCTAGGGTTTGTTCACCCTGTTTGATGCTCCCCCTGCTTTCTTCCACACAGGGGATCTCTCTCTGAGAAGCGACTTGTATTCCACAAAGGTATTTTTTTCCCATTACCCTTGAAATTAAGGCAGGATTTTAGCTGTCAGACCTGCTGCCACTCCCCTGTGCCTAGCTGGGGTTTCCAGGTTCCCAGTGTGCTGTCTCCTGTCCCCAGCCTGTGATGATGTGCTGGAGGTGGTCACCTTCAATGCCTCGTCCTGGTGGCATGAGGTGGACGTGCTGGGCCAGGACCGAGCCTGGGTGGCCGAACGGGCAGCACTTAGCACCACTGGCCACTCCTGGGCAGCCGAACCCGGTGCCAAGGCTGCCTGGCTGGAGCTGGACCTGGGCACCCGAAGGAATGTCACAGGTGAGAGTTGGCCATCAAAGGGGGACAACAGCTGCCTGTGTCCCCATGCTACCCTGATGACTGTCCTCCCGCTGTGCCAGCTTGACTGATCCCCACAAAAATGCCCAGGGCAGTTGCACCTCCATAACTCCCAGGATACACTGGAGTTCATTGTGCCATGGTTTTACTGGTGCAAACAGGGATGCAGAGCACACCAGCCCTTCCGGCTGCTCCTGTCCTCCTTTTGTTCCTTTGCCCCCTCATCTGCAGCCATTTCTGGGATGAACAAGTTAATATTATGCTCTTGCATCTGGTGCCAGTGAGCATCTTTTGTGCGGCTCGAGCCTGCCAAAAGCAGGGGCTTTGTGTGCCAGCGACTGGCCACCGCAGCGAGGAAAATGGGAACATTGTCCAGACAGAGGCTGGAGGAGGGAGGAATGCAGGGCTAGCAGCTGGGGCTGGAGGTTATCAGTTTGTGGGGGCAGACCAGAGTGTCCCACACTGAAATCTGCCACCCAAATCCCCTCCCAGGGTCAGAAGGATCCCCCTCTGCCAGGTGACGTGTCCTGCCCTACTAGTCCTTTCCCAGCTGGGTCTTGAGTATCTCAGAGATAAAGGGCCATTCCAGCTGGGAGAAGAGGGCAGCGGGGCAGAGGGCAGCCTTTTCCCAGCCCCGCAACCCCTAACTGACAGCAGGGAACTCCCTCCTGCATTCACAGGCATCATCACAAAGGGCTCCTCGGAGCAGCATGACTACTACGTGACGTCCTACCATGTCTCCTCTAGCCGCGACGGGAAGAATTGGAGACCCTACAGAGGCAGCAGTGGTCAGGAGGACAAGGTGGGCATGTGGAGAATATCCCTGAGCAGGCCGAGACCCCCTGCCAGTGGATATTTAGCCACTGGTGCCTCTTCACCCTCTCCGGTAGGTGTTTGAAGGAAATGCTGACAGCCAAGGGGAGGTCTCTAATGCCTTTATCCCCCCCATCGTCGCCCGCTACATCCGTGTCACACCGCAGAGCTGGCACCAGCGCGTTGCCCTGAAGGTGGCCCTGATGGGCTGCCAGCTGGCACGGGTCCGCATACCCCGTCCCTATGGTGAGACCCTCCACAGGAGCTCACACCCCCATATCTGAAACATCCTCCTGGGACCTTCACCTTCCTGTGCAACCTGTAGTGGTTCCACAGTCACGGTCCCTGCTCTGTCCTGTAGTGCCCAGTGTCCCCAAGGAGGTGCTTGAGGCCACCAGCCACCCAGCCAGCCGCACCCCCATCCCTGGCATTGCCCTGGACCCAGAGAAGGCAGGTGGGTGCCATGGAGGGGCTGTCCTTGGGGTGCAGCATTGTCTTTTGGTGTTCAAGGTGCCATTGGGGCTTCATCCCACCGTGGGTACACATTTTCCTCCTCTAGTGGCCCCAGGTGGGCTTCTGGCACTCATGGGTGCAAAGGGGTGGGATGGGGGTCCAGGGCACTGACACTGCCCTCCCTCCCTAGGCTCCACACTGCTGGTGATGCTGCTTATTGGAGGCTTTGTGCTCTTCTGCTCCTGCCTCCTGCTTCTGGCTTTCCTCTGCCACAGGAAGAGGTTGGTCCTGCCTTGTCCCCTGCTTTGCCCTGGGGGATTCAGCATCACCTCCCCAAATTCAGCCCCTAAGGCAATGGGTGTGAGGAGATAGGTGGTGGTGGGTGCAGGGTAGCTGGGACCTCTTGTCTCATCTTGCATCTCCCCTTGGCAGGAAGTCAGCAGTGGAGCTGAACTGCGGGATCACAAAAGGTAAAAGGGTTCACAACTCCTCCCCAGAATCAGGGGTCTGTGTGCCATGGGGTGCAGCTGGTTTAACTGATGCTGCTGCCAAGCTTGGATTTGTTCCACGCCCCAGGGCCACCTGCACGTCCAGGTGACAGTCTGTGACAACCGAGGGTTTCCTCTCTCTGTCCAGGGTACCCCAAGCTGGAGTCGAGCCAGGTCTGCTCCCTGCAGAGCCTGCCAGCCCCCAGCCTGGCCTCCTTCCCCATGGCCCCCACACCAGGGGACCTCAGCTGGACCCATTCGCCAGGTAACAGGGACATCAGGGCAGGAACTGGTCTCTCAGCCCAGAGCTGGAGCCGAATCTTCCCAATTGTACCTCTTTCCCCATTCTGGTCGGACCCCTCCTGCATCATGGACCTGTGCAACAAGAAGGCCCTGATAAATTAGACATGCCCATTTAATTATTATAATTAATTATTATCATTTATTGTAATAGCACCACACATTATTTAGTAGTAGTAGTAGTAGTAGTAGTCCACCTCAATTACAGCTGTTGGCACTGGAGGGTGGCTGGGGATAGCAGGAGCCCCTCTCTGTGGTGTGGCAAGGGAATGTGGGGTCTCCATCATTGGGTCTCCATACCCAATGTGGGTACCCTGTGTTGGGTGGGTTTTAGCAGTTTTTCTATCCCTGAAAGTCCAAACATGCTCAGTTTTTCAACCCACCTCACCCACCTCTGCTGCAGCACCACCACCCACCCTTCTGACATGGCAGCCTCCCTGTTTCAGAGTACACTGAGCCAGACCTGGTGCAGGTGAACCCCAGCAGCCAGACAGGTCCCTCCACCTTCAAGCCACTCTTAGAAGAGGGCTACACTCTACCACTGGTCCTGAACCACTACGACGTCCCAGGGAAGCACAATGAGTATGCGGAGCCACTGCCTCCAGAGCCTGAGTACGCCATGCCATTCAGTGAGCCGGAGCCTACCGGGATGCACCGCAACACTTGCATCATCACAGGACCTGCCGGGTGTTGCCCGGTGCAGTACCAGACCCCTGCCCTGCGGCCCGGGGAGCTGCCAGCTGCGGTGGAGGGGACTGGCACCCCCTGTTCTGAGGGGTCCCGTGGGTGGCCTAGGCACTGTCCCCTCGCACACGTGTACCACGAAGCTTTGTGAGGAGGGGAGTACAGCAGCACGGTACTGGGCAGGGGGGAAAGCGTGTAAAGGAGGACCTTCCCCGCGCTAGCAGTGGGCTTTTAAAAAGTAATCGTATGTAAATATATGCTTTATATACAGAAAGACAGATATGGAGTGGAGTGACTTGCACCGCCTGCTGGCCGGGGATGCAACCTACACACCCGGGCCAAAGTGTTACAGTCCTTGTCCCACCTTTCCCGTCGTCCGTGTCTCTGCTCCACCCCCGTTGAGACAGGGCACAATACACCGGACCACCAGGAGCCCCTCACGGCTGCAAACGCCGCTCGCAGCCCATTTCCTGTCGTTCACCAATGCCGGGGTGCCGGAACAAGCGGTTACCGGCAGCCCTACTTCACAAAAATTGTGCTTCCGAAATCTCTTGATGTCGATTCCGCGGGGGTGGCGCGCGACCTTCCCCGTGCCACGCACGGCAGAAGCCCTTTTTAAATCGCCCTCGTCTCCCCACCCACCACCGGAAAGCGCCGGTGTACCGGCTAGGACAGGGCGACAGACGCCGTAGATACTAAACATGATGATCGGTATGTCTATTCTTTCATCTATCCTCAACTCATTTCTTATCGCTATTTCTGAGGTTTTCCCTCAAAAAAGCGCAGTTTTCCCCGCTTTTTAGCCGGCCAGGGTTATGCAAATCGCGCGGGGCATGCTGGGCACACCTCTTTCCTGAGGCAGCGCGGGGAGGAGGAGCGCTTTTGGAGGGAGCGCTATGGCGCGCACGCGCGCGCAGGCGAACGCGCTCCTGATTGGCGATGATGCGCGCGCGCGCAGGGGACTCGCTCCCCATTGGCAGCGGCGACGGCCGGAAGCGGAAGCGCTGCCGAGTGTCGGCGGGCGGCGGTGGCGGCGGGGCTTGGACTGCCCGCGGGTCATGGGGAGGTACGGAGGGCTCGAGGGGGCTACGCGGACCACCTGGGGATTCCACATCGTCTGTTGCAAATCCGGGAGGGAGCACAAGAGTGAGCGCCGAGTCGGTCCCGGTGGCGGTCAGTGACCTTCGCTCTGCCCCGCGACTCCCGGCGGGGACGTTCTGCGCTGGGAGGGGGATTCGTTCCCATCCCGGCTGTCTCCGTGGGGTGAGCGCTTCAAGCTGGGGAAGTTTTGCCTGGGGAAGAGAAGGCCCCGGGGAGATTCTTAGAGCGCCTTCCAGCGCCTGAAGGGGCTCCAGGGGAGCTGAAGAGGAACTTTGGACAAGGACCTGGAGGGAAAGGACAAGGAGAGTGGTTTCCCACTGCCAGAGGGCAGGGATAGATAGGATACTAGGAAGGAATTCCTCCCTGTGAGGGTGGTGGGGCCCTGGCTCAGGTTGCCCAGGGAGACTGTGGCTGCTTCATCCCTGGAAGTGCCCAAGGCCAGGTTTCACGGGGCTTGTAGCCACTTTGGACAGTGGAAAGTGTCCCTGCCCATGGCAGGGGATGGAATGAGATGACGTTAAAGTTTCCTCCCACCCAAACCATTCTGAGATCTTATGATTGTATTTCGATATTTGGTAAAATTCACTATGGTTAATGGAAGTGGGCGCCCCCTGAGCACTCCAGTGAATGTGCTGTTTGTCATTAACGTGGATTTTAGTTACAGCTCTAATGCTGTGCTGTCACAGAACTGAACAATTTGTGGTGCTGATCGCAGCACCCAAACCTCCTCTTGCCCTGGAGGGAGCTGCTGCTGTGAGGATATGGGCTTACCTGCACATCAGCAGGTACCAGGATGCTCTGTTTCCTGGCAGAAAAATGGATTTTGACCATATTTTTCTTCAGAATCCTGTGGGATGATGTTCTCTGCAGCAGCGACTGTGTGATCTTTTCTGACAATGCAATCTGTGGCACTGTAGTGAGGACAATTTGTGAAACTGTTTCCTCTAACCATCATATATAGGATTGGTGATACAAAAAATATCTGGTGTTTCTGTAGGAATAAGAGTTATGGGGAGAGGAAGATGCCAGAGTAGGTAATGCTGACTGGTGACATTCTGGGAAGGGTGCGGACTATGGTTTCTCCACTCACTGGGCTCACAGTAGTTGCTGATGTAATTAAAGATCTAGACACTCAGATAGCTGTAGGTAAATGGGGCTGGCATGTGAGATTTACCCTGTGGATCTGCTCCTCCCATTAGTTTTGTGTTCAGGGATCTTAGTGGCATGTGAAGGGTGCAGTAAGATCTGGGAATAAACCAACAAAATGACTTTAGGCTGCTAAAGTGCTTCTGCCCAAGGATACTGGGGCTTTGTGTCCGAGGATTTCGGTGCTTCCTTCCCTGCATAGTGGGTAGGAGTTCCTGCTTTGTGGATCTGTGAAGTGAGGCGTGGGGTGAACAGCCTGAGATCAGCCCCAGCTAAAGCCAAGACTGAAGGTCTCTCTCGATCATGTGCTGGACTTCTCAGCCAGAAGTGCCAGCTGAGGGGTTTAGGGTGCAAGCGTAATGATTTTCCATTGTTAATTCAATTAAAATGGAGCTGGAAACTTGCCGAGGGCACTGCAGAAGGCTGTTAGGGACCTAAATTCCCCTCAGAGGGCGCCATGTCTGCAAGTGCATGAGTGTGCATTGGAGTGAAGTACTAAAGCTTCTAAATTCTCTCATGTACTTTCTTGTGTGGGTTTTGATATTAATTAATCCAAACTGACTAGGCTTGCTTTAATATGAAGGGAAATGTCTATTTGTAGATCAGGGAGCAGACACTGTGTATGAATGTCCCTAAAGCTGGTTAAACAAACTCTTCTTTGAGTTCAGCCTTAGCTTCTCAGCCATCTCTGGCCCTGCCGTGAGAGGCTTTGCCATAAAACTGTTCCTTAAACTCTCTTTCCTGTGACAGACCCATCAATGCTGCCCATGGTGGTTGTGGTAGTGGAAGGTGCAGGGTTTGGATGAATTTCCTGTCATGGAGCACTGAAGACAGAGCAAAACTTCATTGAGCCTGAGGCTTAGAGCAGAAACAGAGGAGGTGCCAGTCAGTGTTCACCCCATGACCAACAACTTGAGTAACTTCAGCACCTGGAGGATATGTGTAACCACACAAACCACATGTAGTTCACCATTGTGAGCTCTATAAATCCCGCTCCATTTCCTGCAGTCAATTGCCCAGTGCGGGCACACGCATGTTCCTCCCCCTCTGAGCACCAGATTGTGTTCTCAGAACCCAAAATGAACCAATGTTGTCAGTCCCACATGGAGGGGTCATTGCAGGCCGAGCTGTGAGCGTGATGCTGCCAAAAGCGAGACTCCAGGGAGACTGGGTCCTGCTTTCTCTGTAAGGCTCTGGATTGTGGGGATGAGGGATTCCATGCTGCTGCAGCAGGAACAAGCCATGTCCTGCAATTAAATCTGCTCTGAGTGGTCCGTTCTTTGTGGGAATTGGGTTCAGGAAGGCTGTGTGGGGTTGGATGTGGTGGAATTCAGCTCAAGGGATGAATGGGTGGGTGGGTCAGTGCTGTCACCAGCATGCAGCCACTGTGATGCTGGAAGACTTAATTTTCTGTACACTAAGGGAAGATTTTCTCTGCTACTAAGCATCATTTCTCCCTTCATGCTGTGAGCAGACATTCTTGATCTATAAACTGCAGGCCCTGTCAGAACACTGCAGTTTTCTTTGGACAAAGACCTGTTCACCCTGCTGAATTCCTTCTGTTTGCTAATCATGGCTTTTCTCTCCCTTTCCAGTTGATTGGTTTGGATCCCCACAACCCCAAGAAGAAGCAGGACCTAGACAAGCTTTATGATCTAAAAGCTAAAGCCCAACAGATTATGAACCAGTTTGGCCCTTCTGCCTTGATCAACCTCTCCAACTTCTCCTCGATCAAGCCGGAACCAGCCAGCACCCCCCCCCAGAGCTCCATGGCCAACAGCACTACTGTGGCAAAGATGCCAGGAACACCCAGTGGAGGAGGGCGGCTCAGTCCTGAAAGCAACCAGGTAATTCCATCCTGAGTTTGGGACAACAGGGATGATGCTCGGGCATCACAAGTATCACAGATTTGCCTGTGGCTTTGTTCGCCTTCTTTAAATCACCAGCAGAAATATAATGTTTGTTAAATTTACTCAGTTACTGAGTGAACAAAACTTCCTCACAGAGTTCCTCTCTCCCAGGTGCTTCCTGGCTGGATGGAGTTTGGATGCCGTAGGTGTAGAGCTTTTTCCAGTCTTAGGAAAGTGTATATTGGAGTGTGACAGGGGAAGTTATTTTTAAGTGGGGTTTAGATGGGAAAAATATGGGGAGAAGTGGGTGGTGAGGTGCTAGTTGCCCAGAGAAGCTGTGGCTGCCCCATCCCTGAGAGTGTCCAAGGCCAGGTTGCATGAGTCTTGGAGCTGCCTGGGATAGTGGAAGGTGTTCCTGCCCAACCTGGCACAGGAGCCTTTGATGCACATAAAAAAAACTGCTGCCCGGGGAATGTCCCGGCATTGCTCCCTGATGGCGTTGCTGGCACCCAGACTGTTAGGAAGTGCACTAAACCCCAGCATAAAACAGCCACAGCAGTGAAGGAATGAGGAAGGGCAGGAATTTCCCATGTATCTGGTTGACCCGACCAGGTGACAACTTCCATCCATATCTTTTAAGACTCGGCATCCTGTTGTTCAGCCCAGTGTGGTTTCTGCTCCTGCCGTGTCTGACTGCCCTGGAATAACCCAGCACTCCCACAACTCTGTTTTCCACGTGAAGCACTAAAGCTGATAAGTGCTAGTTCGATGGAAATGCTTCCCTCATGCCCTAGGCACAACTTTAGTCACTGATACGCTGATTGCACTTGCTGTCTGATTCTTAACACTTGTAGTTTTGCCTTTCCACTCCTCGCCAGCCGCATTTTCATGCTGGAAACATTTATTCTGGCTGCTGCACTCCAGTTGCTGTCCAGAGCAACCGCTGGTGCTTGAAAATGACTCCTTAACAGCTGGTATTTCTTATCTCTGCCATTCCTGAGCTGATAGACTGTGTCAACAGTGTGACTCGGCCCTGGGGGCATGGGGGAGGAGGTGGTTGTGGTTGTGGCTGTGCTCCACCGGCAGCTTCTTTGCAGGAGCAGGGCAGTAAATCCTTCCTTTCCTCCCACACGCTCAGGTTTTAACCAAGAAGAAATTGCAAGACCTGGTGCGTGAGGTTGATCCGAACGAGCAGCTGGATGAAGATGTGGAAGAAGTAGGTTCCAGCCCATGGAAGGGACTGCAGAAAGAGTTAATTTGTAATTTGTCACAGATCAGTGGCCGTTTGTCCAAGGAGGGAGCATTTAGTTCATGTAACACTTGTTTTCCCATGCAGCCTTCAGCCATCCCTGGTTTTCTGCATCTCAGTCCCAAAAAGGCTTTTAAAACAGCAATTGCAGCAAACACCTATGAAATCCACTCCTTTGAGTGGAATTTTGCACACCACAATATAAGAAAGATCTAAAGCTATTAGAGGGCTCCCAAAGGAGACTCTGAAGATGGGGAAGAATCAGGAGGGACCATAAGAGGAACGGCTGAGGGCACTTGGTGTGTCCAGCTGGAGGAAAGGAGATTGAGGGCAGAGCTCAGTGGGGACTGCAGCTCCTCCCGAGATGCAGCTCCGACCTCTGCTCCCTGTGGCAGGGACAGGAGCCAGGGAATGGCTGGAGCAGGGTCAGGCTAGAGATCAGGGAAAGGTTCTTCCCCCAGAGGGTGTAGGGCACTGATCAGGCTCCCCAGGCAGCCAGACTCAAAGAGCATTTGAACAATGCTCTCAGGCACAGGATGGAGATTGCTGGTGTGACCTGTGCAGGGCTGGGAGCTGGCCTTGGATGATCCTTGCAGGTCCCTCCCAATTCAGGACATTCTGTAATTCTAAATACCAGCTTCTGAGGGCTTGTTTTCATCTCCCCACATAATTTCAACTGCTCAGTGCTGACCAGACTGATCGTTGCCCTTGTTCCACCACAGATGCTGCTACAGATCGCCGATGACTTCATTGAGAGTGTGGTGACAGCCGCCTGCCAGCTTGCACGGCACCGCAAGTCTAACACTCTGGAAGTCAAAGATGTCCAGTTGCACCTTGGTGAGTGACTCTTATCTGTTTTTATCCCTTCTACCCCCAGCTCTCAGCTCCTCCTGGAGTCAGGGCTCAGTTGCGGTGCTGTGGTGGAAGCCTGTGAGTAGATTCTGCCCATGACAAGGGGTTGGAACTGGATGAGCTTTAATGTCTCCCAACTGAAACCATTCTGTGAATTCCAGAGCGCCAGTGGAACATGTGGATCCCGGGCTTTGGTTCTGAAGAAATCAGGCCCTACAAAAAAGCCTGCACTACAGAAGCTCACAAACAGGTAAGGAGCCCTCACAACACCAGGAATCACATGGAAGGCTGATATGAGGATGGAGGTCATGGCCTCCTGACGCTGTGAATTTGTGGCCTCTTCCAAGTTGTTCAGACCAGAAATTACTTCCAGAGCCTCCTGACCTGTTTGTGCAGCAGGCTGAGGTTGCTTTGTCTCCTCAGCTATGTTGGCTTTGCCCAAAGAGAAGCAGCAGCTCTTGGTGCTGAGGAGCTTGGGAGGGTTAAAACCAACTGGGAGCTGCACACAGGTGCTTCTCAGCTGCCCCTGGCAACTCCATCTCTGTGCAAAGGAACTGAAAACACCCTTAATTTTGCTTTTAAACTGCATTGGACCATTGGTTTTTAAGCCGTGGTCAGAGCCTAGAAGGAACTGCCCTGCAGTGGGTTCATGAGTGATGCTGCAGCTCCCACTGGGCAGAGAGGGGGGCCTTGAGATGGGCTTTGATTCCACTGCCCCAGGTTGCCAAGTGGAGAAGCACAGATACTTCCTTCTCCTCTTCAGCCTGGAACCCCATTAAGATTCAAACAGACCTGAAAGACCTGTGTGGAAGCAAGTCAGACCATGTCCTGGGAGCACCTGGGATGCCTTGTTTCTGCTGTGGGTGGTTGTGCAGTCACTCACTCTGAGCTGCTCAGCTTCCCATGGTTTTCCCTCTCTTGTTGCAGAGAATGGCACTGATCCGCAAAACTACCAAGAAATAGCCCCTGGACAGAGCTGGAGACACCACCAGTGCAGTTTGGGATACCTGCCGCTCCACTGAAGCCTCCATGATGTCACCTGTGGGATATTTTTTTAATGCTTTACAGAGAAGCATCTATTTTTTATTAACAGTGCAGCAATATCTTGACTTGATGAGAAGACCTGCCAAAAACATTCTACGCCCTCTTCTCGTTCCTCCTCAAAGTGCGACATATCTCAAACAGACTTTTATTTGTGACTTGAAAGTGGTTTATTGTACAAGTGATTATCCAAGGGACAGAGCATTTGATCGTGTGTGGGACAGTATTAGAAGCATCTGTAGAGGTTTTTGTTTCCTCCTTCCTGCCCCTACCTGCTCCAGTACTTTGTAATGTCAGTGTTTATATAAATACTTGCGTTTGTTTTACATGAATAAAGAAATTATTCTAGGCTGCTGGTACAAGCTTGTGCTCTTCAGGCAGCATTGCACAGGGATGGCAGGGGGAGGGTCCCTGTCGCCTCAGCTCTGTGTGTGGTGCTGTTCTGTGGGAGATCTCCTGAAAGTTTACAGGGAGCAGAATCGTGGAATATCCTGAGCTGGAAAAGATCCCCAAGGATTATTGAGTCCAGCTCCTGGTCTGCCCAGGACACCCCACCACTCCCACCCTATGCCTGAGAGCACTGTCCAATGCTCTCTGAAGCTGTGGCAGCCTTGGGGCTGTGCCTATTCCCTGGGGAGCCTGGTCATTGCTGGAACACCCTCTGAGGGAAGAACTGTTTCCTAATATGCAGTCTATGCCTCCCCTGACACAGCTTCAGCTGTTCCCTCAGGTCCTGTCTGGTCACAGGGAGCAGAGACTGGAGGTGTCACTTGGGAGGAGCTGCACATGCTGGTGAGTGTCCCCTGTTTCCTCCAGGGTGAACAAACGAAGTGCCCTCAGCTGCTCTTCTGAGAGGTTTCCTCCCCTCCAGACCCTTCTAGACCACAAGAATTTGGCCAGTCCCTCACCTGCCAGTCAGGATGGCCAGGTCATTTCCCTCTTGACCTCCAACCCATTGCTGGGATATTTGGACTGTTGGGAGGGGGATGTTGTGACAAAGCAGGAAGTCAGAGTCCCCCTGATTCTGTTTGTGCCTGGACTTTGAAAAGGCCACATGGCCCTGACTGTTCCCGCTGCTCTGCTCAGACCTCAGGGAAGCTGCAGGGGCTGTTGTGGGGATGCAGGAGTTGACAGCAGTGCAAACCCCTGCATGACAGGAAGGCTCAGGAAGGCTCCTGCAGCCCTAGGCAGAGCTGGGCTCATCTTCCTTGTCCAGCTCTCTGGAGGCTCCCAGTACCTGCAGGGGAAACCAGGGTGGGTGAAGTGATTCCATGACCACCTTGGACTCACTCCTCATGTCGCTGTGGGATGAGGAGCCTGGGGAGCTCCTTTCTGCAGCCTTGTAGACAAGGTTTTTTTTCAAATTATATTGTATGAAGATTAATCTGAAAGGGAAAGTGGGCATTTCCTCAGAATGGTATGTGGTTATTTTTGCTTTGGACTCAACTAGGCATGTACTCAGCTGGAGTGGCAGATACATCATCTGAGTTCCACGATAAATTTGTCACTTTTAATTCTATTTGGAAAGACTTAAAGATTTAGGGCTTTATGGTAGGGATCTCAGTCAGTACAAGAGAGCATAGGGGAAAGGGTAACATTGACCTCTGCAAGCCTGTGGGGTTCCACCTGGGGACTTCACCCTTCCAACACACTTCCCATGCCACCCCTGCCTGTGAGTGGCTGCTCCATCTCCACTTCCCCTCCTGAGCCCAGCATGTCCCTGCCTTGCCTGTGTCCTCAGCTCTAGCACAAGCATCTCTTCCGCTTCTCCTCCTTCTCCACTGCCTGAGCCTTGGGCAGCACTGGCAGTGGGATGCTGCTCTTCACCCCATCCCATGCCTCAGTGGCCACCAACTGCCCCGTCTGCAGCGCTTGGTAAATGGCAACTGTCAGCATCTGAAAGGCCTGGACCACATTGGAAGCATCTTTGGCTGAGGTCTCCACGTACTGGACACCCAGTGAGGCCGCCAATTTCTCCGCTTCCCTCTGGCCCACCTGGCGCTGCGCAGCCAGGTCACTCTTGTGCCCCACCAGCAGGAAGACCATGCGGAAGGGTTGGATCGTGTCAGTCACCTCCCGGTGCCATTGCCGGATGCTCTCAAAGGACGTGCGGTTGGTGATGTCGAAAAGCAGCATCCCCCCGGCTGAGTTGCGGTAGTAGGAGCGAGTCACGGACCTGGGGTGGGGACACCAAGAGCAGGGGAGTGAGTGGCCCCTGGAGTTTCCTGTGGCACCTCGGGCAGCATGTTCCCTGCCTACAGAGTGGCCCTGGCTAGGACCTGCTCCTGCAAGCAGCATCCATCTTGCATTCAAAGCACCATGAGAGGAGTGAGAATCAGCCTTTTGCTGTGTCAATAAGAACTCCAGGGGCAGCTCTGTCCATGTTCAGCCGCCAAAGCTCATCTGTCTCCTGCAGCCACAGCCCCCAAGTACCCCTGTGTCTGCAGTCATGTCCCCAGGGCTCCACCATCCCTGCTGTCATGGTCCTGGAACTCTTCTGTCCCTGCTGCCATGTCCCCAGTACTTTCCCATCCCTGCTGCAACAGTCCTGGAACTTTCCCATTCCTGCAAACCCAGATCTGCCACTCTCATCCCCTGCAGCCAAATCTCCCAAGCTTTCCTGTTCCCAGGAGCTGCCTGGCTGGTGGAGACAGCCCCACAGTGAGGTGTGAGGCTCCTAGCAGCTGAGGAAGAAGTTTTGCCCAGCCCTCAGTGGGTTCCCAGCTGTTCGCCAGTCCCTCTGCAGCTGGTGTGGCAGGGGGATTCTTGGGGGAGTACTGTACCCCCTTTAGAGCTGGAGCAAGGGCTTACAAGGCAGTCCCAAGGGCTCCTTTCCCTTGGCTTTTGACATGGTGGTTCCTCACCCAAACAGACAAGTGGGAACACAGCCACATCAACAACCTCCTTGGGCTTGGAATCACAACACTCCACCCCAAATCTGGAGGGGGACACCCATCTCCACCACCCCTCCTGACCCCATGGACCTACCTGAACCTCTCCTGCCCGGCTGTGTCCCAGAACTGCAGCTTCACTTGCAGCCCTGGCTTCAGCTCCACGAATTGGACGTAGAAGTCCACCCCCACCGTCTGGTTGACAGCGTCCAGGAAGACACCTTCGGTGTAGCGCCGCAACAGTGAGGATTTCCCCACTGTCGAGTCCCCCAGCATGATTACCCGGAACTGGTACTGCCACCGTGGCTCCATTGGTGCTTCTGCTGCCTGCCAGGACCTGCCACCCCCACACCAGGAGCATGTTCAGGCAGGCAGGGAGCTCCTCCACCCAGGAGGCGTTCCCAGTACCATTGGTGCTGCGTGGCCCTTTTGGAACCCCTTTGTCCCCTTTATTTTGGCTCTCTCCAGCAGGAAGCACTCAGGGGTGCCTGCTCCCATTTTCCCATGGACAGGACACCCTGAAAAGTGTCCCAGACAAGGGGAGCTGTTGCCCCACCAGTGATGCCCCCCAAAGCAGACAATCCCCCATGCCATGGATTGAGTGCTGTGCCCCTGCCTGGGATGAAGTGCTTGGCACAGCCTTTATTTAGTGTGGAAAAGCCTTAGGTTTATTAAAAACACTCCTACAGCAGAGTACTATTTTTTTCAGAGCCCCCAAATTAAGGTTTGAAATAAACCCAAGCCCAGGTGAGAGACCTAACCCTCATGGTCACCCAAGGGCTACAGGTGCTGAGTGGAGAGAGAGAAGCATCCCCACAACTGGAGGTCCCACGTCCCCCTATCCCCATCAGCACTGGCAGTGCTTGCAGGGCTTCCTCCCTGCCAGGGGCTGGCAGTGACTCTGGTTGGGGATGAGCCTGATGCCATCACATCCCTGGTGTGGGGGGCAAGGATCCCCTGGCCCAGTGCCTGCTGGATACCTCCAGCCAGTGTCGGAAAGGCCAACTCCACATTGAGGTTGCTGTGGGCTGAGGTCTCCACGAAGTCCATGCCCAGAGTGGCGGCGAGGTGTCCAGCTTCCTCTGCTGACACAGTTCGCTCATCCACCAGGTCACACTTGTGTCCCACCAGGACAAAGGCAGGCAGCTGGTCCCCCACAGCCTCATGATACCACTCAGGAATGTGTTCAAAAGATGCCCGGTTGGTGAGGTCAAACACCAGCAGCACCCCCGCTGCGCTCCAGTAGAAGGACTTGGTGATGGATCTGGGCATACCCAGCAGGTTTTCAAAGGATACTGGGAAGCTTTAACACCAACAACCCTAGGATGGGGCTCGGGAGATTTTTGGGTGACAGGTCAGACTTCAGGAGTGGGAAAGGGAGACCTGTCTTGGGCATTTACACTGCCGTTTTCTGTTCAGCATCCCTCTCCCCAGACTGGGGGGCTCCAGAGGAGATCTGTGGGGTTTTCAGGGACTCTGTGGTACTGTTTATCCCCGCAAAAGCCCCAGATCTGTGGGGATGAGGCAGCACTGAACAAAAATAGGGCACCACCAGAGCCAACCCTCGGGTCCCCAAAAGGTTCCCAGGGATGGAGAGGGCCTGGGAGCCCAGCTCCAGCCACAGCACTTTGATCTTCAGCCCTTCGTGCCCCATTTGAGCCTCTCTCACACTCCCAGGTGCTCCTGGCTCCAGCCTGATGCAATTAGGAAAGAAACCATCCAGCCCCAGCCCACCAGCACACAGCAACGAGCGCCTGGCCCTGCTCCCTTGGCTGCTCCCCTGAACAGCTACTGTGTCACTGCAAGCGCAGCACAAGGTGTCACTGGCCCCTAAAGAATCACCATCCCAGTGAGCCATTGCTGTCTGCCCCTGCACACCCAGCTGGGGATTTACAAACACCCCAGAGTGGGAAGATGACTCGGTGGAGTGCTGGGGTCCACATACCTGCCTCACCTGAACTGCTCCTGGCCAGCCGTGTCCCAGAGCTGCAGATTGGCCTTGCCGGTGGGTGGAATCAGGATAGTCCGGCTAGAACTCAACACCGACGGTGGGGCCTGGCACGGCTGCCCCACCAGGATCCCCACCCGGCCCATCAGTGAAGCAGTGCAGCAGTGAGGAACTTACCCACGGCTGCATCTCCCAGCACGATGACACGGAACTGGAAGTGTCCCTCAGGCTCAGGATCCTGGGGGGAATCTGTCATTGTCTCAATGGCTGAGCTGACTAGATCCCGACCATGTTCCTCGTGTGCTAGCAGCGACAGACAGGCCTCCACCCTTGTCCCCACCCAACCACGGGACAAGGACGGCTCCGGCCCCGCAGTCACCCAGACAAACTGGCCCAGGGAAGGAGCAGCTGCCAGCTCTGTCCTTATCCTTCCTGGTAACACTGAGGAAGGAAGTTTTCTTCCCAGGTGTACAAACAAAAAAGGCTTTGGAGCTGCTGCATAGTTCTTTTAACCACTTAAGAAAACCACTGAATTTATTTTCTTGACTTTTTTATTCCCTTGTTTTTAAAACGATTTTTATCCATTTACCCGTTTCCCAACCACCAAACTCCAAAACACAAACCTGAGCAACAGCCCAGCATTTCAAACCTTAGCAGCAGCACTGCTTCAGCTCTAATCACATTGGCATTTAGTCTCCATTTGCTGTGGCCAGGATGTTTAGTGTTGCCACATGCCAGCTCTGGATGCCCACCTCTACTGGCAGTCTCTCATGTGTCCACTGCCTGGCTTTGGTGACAACAGGGACAACCAGGCAGTGAGTGCAGACTCCCTGCTGTCCCCAGGAGCCAAGATCCTGGGAAATGCTCCACAGGGAAGGGGCTCTCAAGACCTGCAGGTTGACTAGAGGAGTCAGAGGCACCAGCCCAATGCAGGGACTTTGCCACAGCCCAGCCACCCAGAGACAGAAATAAGAGTGGCTCCAACTCAGAGGCTGCGGCTCCCCACAACCAGTTTTTCTCCACGGTGACAAAACAGGCAACCAGAATCACCAACTCTCCAGCTGAGGGTGTTGGAACATCCCGAGGTTGGAAGGAGCTGCTCTAGCCCCTCCATGAAGGCCCACGGTGTTTCTGCATTCTAGGGACCCCTGTGGAGGACATCCCACTGGCAGGTGCTACAGCAAGTACAGGAACTTGCCTCCGAGCACTGGTGAACTTCACTGCAAGGGGATCCTCAGGCTCCATGGTTCAGAGCAAGCCCAGCCTCACCCCATCCCAATGCAACTCAAACACTGGAGACACCACAAAGATTTGAAGTAATTGCATTTATTCAAACTCCTACCACACAGAGAGAATATTCCAAGCTGGAAGGGACCCACATGGATCACTGAGTCCAGCTCTTAAGCAAATGGCCTGTACAGGGATCAAACCCACCACCTTGGCATTACTGACTCTCTCCTCTAATCAAATATTTAATATCCAGACCTCCTCCTGAGAAAACTCCATGGAATACTGTTCTTCCATGTGGAGCATCTGAACTGCAGCTTCAGATACACCTGGAGCCAAACCAGCTCTACCTCCCTCCACTGCAGGTAAGTGGAGCCCAGAAGTGGATCATCCCACTTGGCAGAGCTCATAGCTCAGGAAGGAGCTAGGATCTGGCTCTGCAGAGCTCCCACTTCTGGAGGAGAAGGCTGGGAAAGAACAGTCTGGCACTGCAGCACCAAGTCCCTCGGGGATGGTTCACCCTCTGCTTAGACCTGAAAAAAGGGATAAAAAAGAATCCAGCTGAGGGACGGGCAGTCAGGCTCAGCACTGTGTGAGATTTCATCCACATTCCAGAACTCCTGGATGTCCCCTCCCTGCCCTGTGGTTTGGGCAGCTTATGCCTGGCCTCAGCCCCATATCCGCAGGACTCATCCAACAGTCTCCAGACTAAGGAATCATCATGGACCAGGCTGCACTGCCACTGATCTCACCCACACCCTGCACCAGAGAGCACAACTCTGGCCAATGAAAAGCCTCAGAAACAAGGTTGATCATTCACACCTGCAAAGTCCAGGTGAAAAACTGGCCACTTCCAGCACAGCGAGCTTGAACTGTCCCCTGTCCTCCAGACCCACTCCGGATCACACAATCCCAGAATGGTTCGGGTTAGAAGGCACCTCAAAAGCTCACCCCATTCCACAGCCAGCCACGGGCAGGGATACTGTCCACCAGACAAGTCACATCCAACCTGGCCCTGGACACTTCAGGGAATGGGGCAGCCACAGCTACTCTAGGCAACCAGGGCCTTCTCACCCTCACAGCCAGAACTTCTTCCCAGTATCTAGTTTCCACTTACTGCCCATCCCAACACCAGGAGTTCTCCAGAGAACACTCACATGCTCCACACTGCAGCTTCCTCACAACTCAGGTCCTACAGAAAGCAAGCTGAAGCCCTTGGGACAGGGCTCACAGGTTTTAATCTTTTTCCAGAGTTACTGCTGAAAAAATAGAGCCAGAGTTTAGTGCCTGAAGCCAAGGAGTCACTGTAAATCCACGGCTCAGATATTCCCAACAAATTCCAGCCTCCCAACCCTCATGGCATGTATGCCCCCTGCGCCCCATGTTTATCCCTTCTCCTGACCAGAAGTTTCCTTCCTAACTAGAATTCCCAAAATAGTGAGGCCAGTGCAGCCTGTCTTCCTAGTGGCCCCTCTCAGCACAGGAGACACCTGCAGAGAGCCCAAGACCAGCATGAATGTTACTCTTCCTCCTTTTTCGACCACAAGATCGGTATTCAGATCTGGTGGGAAAGGGATTTGGAGGGATGGGCTGTGGAGTTTCAACAAGGGTACTACCCTCTCACCTGGGTTTATCCATCAGATGGCTGAGCTCTGGAACACCCAGGACCCCTGGAAGACATCACAACATACCCCCAATATCAGCAGTAGGCTGCAGACTTTTGTGGACACACCTTTGACTCATTCCACCCTGGAACCCCAAGCAAGGAACAGCCCAATTCCCAAAAAATGTATTGGAGGGGTGAGTGACTGTCACAGGCAGAAGAGGCCCAGCAGTCAAAGACCTTCCCATTGCTCTGGCATGTTGTTGGAGACCTGCAGCTACTGCATGGAACCGCAGCTCTTGGATTAACATGCAGGTAAACAGAGTTTATCTGGTAAAGTCTGTGATTGAGTGATTGACTGGCTCTGGGATCAGGGTTGACACCCAGTTCTGCCTCTAGCGGGCCCTAGAGAGAGGAATTGCCCTTATCTCACCCATACATCGTCTGGATGGAGCAAGTACTAAGGGAGTTTGCAGGGCCCAGTCCCAAGGACAAGCCCCGTGGAGGATGCACAGCCTCGGAACAGCACATGCTGGCACTGCCCGAAAACAGAGGGGCAGGAAGCGCTGCTGGTTCCTACTCTGGTCCAGGGAGGCCTTAAAACCAACCAATTCTCAGCCTCCCAAAAGAGGACTCCAGAACCAGGATCGCCCATCTCACCTGCCCAAAGCCGAGGCTGTCACGAGCCATCCCATGTCCCGGGATCACCTTCTACGCCAGGATGCTGCTGGGGAAGAAGAGAGCTTTAAGTAAATTGCGAGAGAAGTAAGTTAAAACTACAGAAAGATGGGATACATTCCTTCCCCCTCCCCCCACGCCGTGCATCAACTTGGACCCCAGGGGCAGGGATTTGAGGCAGCCGCCTCCTTCCAGCACCAGTAAGCCCCCCAGCCCATGGCGGGCCATGTACTTTCCCGAAATGTTGCCGGACAGTTACGAAGGCTCCAACTGAGCGGCGACCGTCGAGGAAAATGCCTTTGCTTTCGGCTCCTTTTTGACTGCATCTACCACAGCACCGACAGACGCAGCTTCGATAGGGCCGGGCGGCTCTTCCACCCGCGGCCGCCTGTCCCGGGACAGGGCATTAGCTCAGCCTCGGGGGCCCTCACTCACCCGGGGCCGGGCCCGGCCTGAGGAGGAGGGCGGGGGCAAAGGCCGCGCTGCCCTTCGCAGCCTTCGAGGCGCACCGAAGCGCCGCCGCCGGACGCGATGCCCACAGGGCGCCGATGCGGCGGAGCCGAGTGGCAGGAGAGCCCCAGAGACGAAGAATGGCGGTGGATGGTCCCCGATGGCCGCCACAGAACCACCCCAGCTCGCCGCCATGGCAGAAAGAGGCGGAAACCCAACCGCGGCCATTTTTTATAGCGCGGCAGCGCGGGCTCCGATTGGCTGCTGGTGCCGGGCTCTACCGCAGAGGCTTCTGGGAGTTGTAGGTAGCCCTGCCTACAGTCCCAACCGTCGCTCCCGCCTTTCCCCCTTCCGGCCTCCCACTCCACCCCATCCCAAAGCATAAACGAGACTCCCGAACAATCTGCTCTAGTGGCAGGTGTTCCTGCCCATGGCAGCGGGTGGAATGAGATGAGCTTTCAGTCTTCTCCCAACCCAAACTATTTCATGATCCCATGATTCACAACCCCCACTAGCACTGGGAGCAGCTGCACACCCCCACCCCACCTAAATGACTCTCCAGTCTGGGTGAGACAAGTACAATTTCTCTCTCCTTCTCCATGCAAGGTCCACACCAGAGGCTGCTCTTTGAAAAGCTGAAAGCAGCAGCTGCATTTCCCCTTCTCCTTCCTCCCTTTTGGAATGGGGTGGGGGAACACTCCACCCTCGGGGAATAGAAGGAAGGGTTCTTGGAAACAGAAGTATGTTTGCCAACACAATACCTCTGTAAGGCTCCTGGTTCATGATTCATAATTCGTAGAAAGTATTTAAAATGGCAGCGCCTGTCAATGGGCTGGAAGGAAGTGCTGGAACAGCTGCTGATGCTGAAGGCACAGCCATAGCAGGAAATCAGCTGGAAAGGCCTGAGAGTGCTACCTGCCCAAGTCCTGGAGAAAGGGCAAAATGGATGGTCATGTTTTAATCTGTTCTGAGCAAATGAACAGATGAAAAAATTCCCAATGTTCAGCCTTTTGAGCTGGTAATTCCATCAAACATGGCAGATCAGCAACAAAATAAATCCTCAGTCATTTAAGGCCAAGTCTGGGAACAAGCCCCAAACTTTGTGTGGCCAAACTCTCCCCAAGACAGCCCTTGCCAAAGCTGTCAGGGACAAGGTACAAGCTGCTCCCATTCTCCTCCTACATGGATCTCACAGCTGCTCTGCCAAGTCACAAGGCAATCCCTGGAGTCTCCTTGGCACAGCCACTGATACATGAGCCTAAAAATCATGTCAAATCCTAGGGCAGAGTAAAGCCTGG